TTCATTTTAACGGCTGAAATTCATACAACACCAAAAGGGGTGTCAGTCCTGTTCCCCATTGCAATTTCAGACATTGGTTGAAATGATTTAACTTAAAAAATTAAAAACTGCTCACGGCCTGCCTTCTAAAGGCATGACACCGGACGGATTTTGTCATAACCTCACCTGTAAATTCATGACAACGAAGCATTTTCAGTGCTTAACTTTAAAGGTTTCTGACAACGGTACTGTCTTGGAACTTAACATTTTTTTGCGGACAGACAGTCAACTAGAGGAACAGGGCAAAAACTACGATATGCCCCCCCCCTCCGAATTTTTGATTAAGGGGCATAAAAAACATTTATTGCTTTTTAAAATTTTCTTTTAAATTCTAACAATTCGAAGGTTTTATTTTGCTAGTCAAAAATCTGATATTAAAATGTTCTACGTGTAATGTAATTGGAGTTTAATATCATTGTTGCTAAACCAGATTGTCATTCTAAATAAAATTAAAAATATATTCAATATCTTATTTGTCTTTTAATTAATATTCGTAGGGCAGTTTAGATGACATTGTAAGTCAGTTACTAGTAGCCAGTTACTAGTAGCTACCTTTTCCACTTGTCGTATACAGTTAAGTATAGTAGCTAACTTACCGTCTTCTAGTAGCCAATCACTAGTACATGTACCTAACTTTATCTTTAAAAAAAGTTAAAGTTCTTTAAGGTATCAAAGATTGTGTACTGCATTTAAAAGTATTGCAGACATATATCAATCAGAAAAAAAATTAATGTATCAACTTACTTATCTTCTTCGTCCCCAATGGGATATAAGGCTTCAACAAGCTGTCGCCATCGTCCTCTCTGTCCTTTGCCATATGACATTAGACTGTCAAGAGCACTGATTTCTCATATTTTTCATACAATTGAAATTGTTTGTTTTCATGTTTCTAAGATTGTTTCAGGACAATTTTACCCTCTTTTAACTTGGTGTGACGCGAAATTTTGGCCTCAGGCGAAGTTCAACGTCACTTTCGATTTGGTTATATTTTGTTCAAAGCTTAATTTCAAATTGTGTTCAATTGGCGATGAAAATGACGCACAGTCTATAGAAAAATGTGTTTAAATGGGTTTTGATACCAGTTGTTAATTTTTAAATGTGATATTAAGGACAAATAAACATTAAAATAAAATTGAGTAAAACGTGGTGCAAGGATGGTCCAGATATTAACATTCCAACTGCTCTCCCTTCTATCTCAAAGGTCATTTTGACAATGTCTTTTTTTTTTAAAGTGAAACCAGTTTTTAAAATTTAATTATGATCAAAAAAATATTTTAATTACACAAAACACGTGCCGCAAAGTACAGATTTATTGTTTTTAAGCTTTGTCACGGAACATTGATATTCATCGGTGATATTTTATTTTCTTTTTACAATTATTGAGAAGACTCATTTGTTGTAATAATTTGAAAATATAGCATTCTATAAAGTAGTTTTTAAATAATCACATTTATTAAAGTGAAAACTTCGAAGTTTGGTTAATATACGAGTTGCATCTCGTATATTTCATTCCATGTTGGATTAGATTTTATTTGTGCCTTTATTATATTTTTTTATTCCAATTACTTACCTGTAACCGTTTAAGATGTTGTCCTGTCCATTTTTTTTTCATAAATGACTCGTTTTGTAAAAATTTATTTGACAGTTACAAATAACTTTTCGTGGGCTTTTCAAGAAGTAGAAAGTATTAAAAGAACCAGAAGTCTCTGGTGATATTATAGCTCTTGTGGTCTGTACGAACGACTGATTCTTAATGTAGTCTAATTATGTACCTTAGTGTAGTATATATACTCGCGTGCAAAATTATTTCAAAATCGGACTTAAACTAAAAGAGGGATTATTGCGTTTAAAAGGAATTTTAGAAAAAGTTCTTTTTTTTCAGTAAGAATGGCAACAACATTCATCTAAAGAAATAATTGATGCAATTGAATAAATAATTTCGTTTTATTTTATTCGACTGTATGTCAAAATATGTAGAAGGAGTAACGTTTTAAAGATTTTCACATATATTTCTATTTACATGTACTATGGAAACAACATTGAGCGAAATCAATTTTTTATAAAATGAAAGTATGCATTTTAGTTTAGTTTACTTGTTGTGCCAAGTTATATATTGAAATCAGATCAAACCTGTAGGATGAGTAGCATTTTAAAGGAATTTCTCAGAAATTTCTGTTTTAGTAAACACGAGAACATCGAAACCGAGGCACTTAATCATGTATTTCAGTGTATGCTGCTTGTATGCAAACTTAAATATATATTGAAATCAGGCTTTTAAAATAAAAATAAAAATGCCCTAAGTTACAAGTCTTCATTAATATACTCTACTTGTGTTCCAAGTTAAGTTAAAATGGACCAAAACTAGTACGATTAGCGATATAAGATTTTGTTGAAAGCCAGACATACGGACGACGGGCACCTATGACATAAGTACAAAGAGACTGCACAGTGAAATATTGGATTTTGATGAACGGTGTTGCCATGGATCTTAAAAGTAGAAATTTCATAGCATTCTTTCTTTTTAGAACGCTACTTCTCCTACAGTGTTGTATGAAATTTCTTCAAAATGATCCTCCTCCTATCATGGTTTTGATTTCAATATAATTAAAGTAAATGATAAAGTAGACTACACTATCATACTGTAGTGCGTTAGATTTTAAAATTAGTCAAACGTTGTTGCCGTGGATTTTATATATACAGAAAATATAATATAGAATTTTTTTATGAAACTCCTTTAAAATGCTAATCCTCCTTCTGTTTTAGTCTGATTTGATTGAGTCATTTGTTCGACAATACACCTTTAGTACTGTTTACAAAATATTTTGATTTTAATTCAAAATTAACATTTTCTGTACAGCCAACTGGTCTGAACAATGTGCTATACGACACAGGAAAAACGTTAAAATGGCTCCAATGACATGCTGTTTTTCGATTTTGTGAGAGCTGAAGAATGACACATGACTCGCTTGTATATTCAAAATGACCAAAGATATTATACTAAAAACTAATGACAGAACATCATGAGAAGCATAATAGCAAATTAAACAAGATTCAATATTTTATTTTTTGATATAACAAAGGTTAAAGTTCAGCATTTGTTATATCAAGTATAAACAAGTAGAGATAGCTAGAGTCTTATCAGAGACGTGTTTTTCTTAATCGGACACACTTTTGAAAATGTTACTCGATTGGCTTTTGAATTTTTAGTCAAAGGCCTAATTCATTGGAAATTCGATTAAAATGAAATAGAACCTATATGGGATGTGTACATAGTACATATATTTACTCTTATATATTTGGTCAATACTCTGCAGGATAGTAAATATATAATTTTAATGAGGATATACACAGGGTTACAATATTGACAGAACTTCAATTCACGGGTGAACACTCGATTAAAAAACAAAAGTTAACTGTTTGAAACATTACGCTGACTTCTTTATATATTTTATTTTCAGTTCACATCAATATTATAAATACGTGGACCACATAAGCTTAATCGTGTTAATTATAAATGAGTCTCTCAATAATCCCACATGTAGAATTAAAATACCAATGCAGTTAAGATTCTTCTATTTGTACAGTATTGACAAAAATATAATAAGAATTGCTTCCCGCAATGCTGTGGCATACATATTGCGAAAATAACTAGTGCTAATTGTAACGGGAACCGTTACAGATGTTCCCCAAACGCCCCCAAACTCCCTTTCGGTGCCATATTTCCTGTAAGCTTCATTAAATAAGACAAACTCTGTGCATTTTTGACTTTAACAACGTTTTCCCAGAAGGATACCAATTATATTCAATTTTTAGCATTGCACCCAAGCGCATGTGAATGCATGTGCGTTATGACCATATCATCTTGTCTACACTATTTATATATTTTAATATACTATATATTAAAGCATTCAGTCCAAAAGTAATAAAAATCACTCATTCAAGAGTATTTTTAAATATACTCGTTTCAAATGCACGCACGTGCGTGCACGTGCATGATGATCATACCTTCTTGTAGGAGTCCCTTACATCTATCTATGTTCTAAATCCCATCCTGTTTGGTTGAAAAACAAGGGAGTTATAGCCATTTAAAGTTTCAGCCAATCAGATTGCAGCACACATGCATGCGCGTAATTTCATGATTTTTTTTATATCATTTTGTAGGATATCCTAATGCATGACTATATTTTAAATTTCAAAGAATTTCGTCAAAAACAAAGGAGAAATAGCCATTTAAAGTTTCAGCCAATCAGATTGCAGCACACGTGCATGCGCGTGATTCCATGATTTTTGTTTTCTATATCATTTTGTAGGATATCCTAAAGCATGACTATATTTTAAATTTCAAAGAATTTCGTCAAAAAACAAAGGAGATATTGCCATTTAAATTTTCAGCCAATCAGCTTGCAGCACGCGCACATGCGCATGCTTTCATGAAAATTCTTATATATCATGCGGTAGATCTTCATAATGTAGGACTATGTTCAAAATTTCGAAGGATTATGACAAGAAACAAGAAAGTTATTGAGACTTTAGTTTCAGCCAATCAGAGCGAAGCGCACGTGCATGCGCGTGAGATCTTGCTATTTTGACCATGCTATCTTGTATATACTACTAATGTATCCTTACATTAAGAGTTTCAAAAAAATTCATCAAAAAATAGAAAAGTTACGGCAATATCCATTATATTGGTAATTTCACCTGTTGCACGTGCGCGCTCTTGCAAGCACGTGCACGCAAAATGACCTTTGTTTGGCAACTCTACATAACATGCCTACTGACCCTAAAAAGGTTTCACCTAAGTCGGATGTGTAGTTTACAAGATCACTCGTGGACAAAATTTTCCCAGGAAGAAGAAAAATAATAATAAGAATAATAATAATAAGAAACAGAGTAAAAACAATATGTTCCCCAACTTCGTTTGGGGAACATAATAATATATCCAAGAAATCAGGCCATACATAATATTCCAATGGACTCACGCGATCGGCGTCGACATCAGAGCTCGCTAAATCGCGCGACCATTGACTCCATCACAGGAAACAGCGGTACTTACCAAACACTTATACAGATGTAAATATTGCCGGAGGGAGAGGGGAACCTCATTCTGATCCGATATACTGACGATGATTACCCTGACGATGGAATGTCATCTGATCTTTCTCGTGACATTAATTGCGGTAAGTAATCATTATGTATGTGTTCTCAGAGATTCTTAATGAAAATAAACAATGTCTGATAAAGAAGCTAGGGTGCTATCATGCATGTCTTTGTGTCTCCCTCGCTGAGAAGGGAGGGGGCTGTAAAATTGCATGTACTCAGAAAAATAACTAGCAGTTAGGCATGTTTCTCAATCTTCCTCTAGCTGCTTGAATTATCATGATAATAAACATCTGAATAAAAACGCATTATTGGTATTTATGCTTTTGTATTATTTATATACATCACACAAATTCCTAAGGAATGATTTACAGTTAGAATTTGACATAAAAAAAATGACTCACATTATGGCTGAGGGGAATCAATCAATATTGAGAAGCAGCTAGTGCAGCCAGATTTATGTGGGGAATTCTACAGGGAGAGCATCATCAAATGCTGTTGGTTTTATTCTGTTACGATGCGACATTTCAGCTTGATTGAAATACAAAAAATGTTACGCGTAATGCTTATCTGCCAAGATAAACCTATTGAATAATCTTTGTGCATTGTTGTGCGAAGACATGCATGTTTATGCGTATTTCTTCATGTGTGTAGGAATAAACAACTATACATTGTGGTATCTTGTAATAAAGAACACGTTCAGTGTATCACACATGTTCTTGTTTTTCTAACACACTTTATATCAGCCTCATATACAAATTTTCTTTAAATTTGAGAATTTGACCTGGCCACTTAAAAAACTTCTGACCAGTATATTTTACATGGATGTAAGACTGCATTGATAAGACATACCACGGCAAGCTAGGATTGTGTGCTTTTTATTTTTGTCGTGTTCTGTTTTAAAAAATCTCTGGAGAAAAAAATTCCAACGCTTATCACATTATCCCATCTTTTCCCTTGCTTACGAAAACAACCAAACGCAGTAGTTACAATGTGTTTTAAAGTCAAACTAAATAAACAGGTCAACATGGAGATTTAAAGCCTTTTTCCACTTGGACCCTCTTTTATCATCTAATGACACTCTTGTGAGGATCTAAGATGTAGACACTCAAATCACTGAAATATATATGTCATTGCATCGGTAGGCTACAAAACATACATCATCGAGTGCAGAATTCAAATGTCAATCCAGATACATGAAACTACGAGCTCAGTGTACTGTTGGTTTTTAAAATACATATATATACCGTGTATCATGTATAAAAAGAGTATAGTATATGATATTTTCCTCTATTTCTTTTATTGGCATTCAACCTATATCCGTGTATCATTTATTAAGAAGAGTAAATTATATATTCTTCTCTTTTATTGGTATTCAATCGATACATTTAAGGAAGTATCGAATTGTCGACGAATTCTTACGTTATTTCACGATCATGACAGGGGGCACACGGCGGGTGTGACAGGTTGGTAGGGATGTTCACACCTGCATGGTACCTGATTCCACATTTGATGTTTTAAGGTCTGAACGTCTTTGCTCTGATCTTGATTTGTAATCTATTGTAGACGTTTGAGTTTGCCTTCAAATATTTTACTAATGCCCGTACTTTAGCCTACTCTTTATATAATTCTTAGATTTTGACTATACCTTGTATCTTTAAAATCGTATAAAATAATATTTGGTCATTAATTGTTCCAAGTTATTAGTATAATTGTTAACGCAACACAGATTGGCTAAATCTCCCTGGGTAAATTAAAAAGAAAATAATACTCAGCTTTAGTAGTAATTAACGGCTTGTTTTCTACGTTGTTTATTTTGGAATCGGAACAGCTTTAATAAGTAATGTATAGTATTTGTTCCATTCATTACAAAGGATGGTGGAGGAGAATTGAGAAACATTATAATGAGAGATATATATCGTTAGTTTCCGGATTAACAGCTTAATCTTCCGATAAGAACTCTATACCACTCGAATGTAACAACGCAAAATATGATCATTAAGTTAAACAAATCAAACATTGTCATTATTTTAAGGATTAATTACGAGGTTATTGAACCGCAGTGGTCAGACAGTTTTAATAATTGGACTTTTCCACTTTATATGTTACATGAGGGTTGTCTTTAAAGCTTGATTTTAAGTTATAAAAATTCAAGCAGAGAAAATTTTTTTTTTACTTACCTGAAAAAGTTCACAAGGAAAAAAAAAAAAAAAAAAAAAAAAAACCCAGGCTTTCAATTAACATTTCCTATAGTGTAATAGTGTAAGTTAGGTTGCCCCCCCCCCCCGGATACTACGCCCCTGCACAGAGGCAAAGACCCATGCAAACCTGGGAACAGACATAATGCTCAAATTTGCTGAAAATTTCAATTCATTATTAAAAACATGTATTACTTTCAGAATTTTTTTTTTCAGTATGAAATTTTGACATTAGTCTTTTTTCAGTTTTTCTTCTATATAACTTGGGTTTAAAAGACAAGCTAAAATCATCAGAGACATGTAGTGCCCCTGAGTCAGCGGCAAGCAACATTACGTGTTTACATGTACACAGGAAGTGGTTGTCCCCCTGATTCCAGTGGACACTCATGGCCACTTAGTGACCACACAATGAATAAAACCCTTAATGTGTCTGAACAAACAGCAATTTTAAAAGAGATTATGCGTGACATGAACAATGTCATTTTCATATCTTAAATCCTCTCTACTAATTATTTTAAGAAATAAAGATAAATTGCAACCTATTTGGGATTGTTTCTAAACAAGATGCCAGGCGTGTGTTTCTTGTCATGTTCGATGAAAAGACGGAAAAATCCGTTGGGAACTCAGTGTGTAAATAATGGACTAACAGTATGAGACAGCATTAGACTTAATGATGAATTGTATTTGCTGACAAGGTCATTGTATCAACCATAGAACTCACGAAATGATGACAGCAATGATGAAATGATGAATTCTAATGCAATTGTTTTGTAAAACACTCTTTGATTGGCTAATGCACTGATGTTTGAAGCAGTAAAACGAGCATTAACGAGCTTGAAAGTATTTTCATTGTGACGTCATAATAGAGCTACGCAAATTTCATGTAACAAAATTCAACAAAATAAGACGAAACAACAAACAAAATGCATGGATTGCATTAGAATGGGAATAACTAAACTTTTAATTTGGTATTTGCGACCGTTAATGCTGATTTAACGGTCGCAAACATCCGTTTTACCGGCTCCGCTTGCGCGTCGCCGGTAAAACTCAGTTTGCGACCGTTAAATCAGCATTAACGGTCGCAAATACCAAATTAGAAGATACTTAGATAGTTATTCCCTAAATTAAACGAGACAGTTGATATTCTAGTTTCATCGAATTGTTTCTCAATAACTTACCTCGTTTTAGAAATTCATGCATAAAACCTGCTCTTCCGTATCAATCAAATGAGAGATATAAAACCCATGTGAAGGTGATGACGGTGTATTGCTGCATAACTATAAAGGGAAATTGACAATTGAAAAATTAAAGCCATCTCGTTTTTCATAAAGATAATCATTAACGTCAGTTTCTAGTAAAAGATCCAGATATGAAGCAGCTGAGATTGGGATTGTACTTTTGCGGATCTGAATTCAGAAATCTGTTACAAAAATTAACTTTCACTCGTGTAACTGGATAATTTTCTGCTATATCTGTTTATATCAGTTCTAGCAAACAAAGGAAAAAGACATGACATATATTACTTTTCTCTGTATAAAATCATTGAAATAGGATTTAGTAGATGAAATATCGTATATTAATTAATATACTCAAGTATACATGAGTGTATGTTTAATTGATCATGTTGATAGAACAGCCTCTGCAAGAAATCTGTACATAGCACTTGAGGGACTTGCTCATCGGTGTTTACTGATTGATAAACGGCAATGGAACAGAAATATACTTTTCCGTTTATGTTAGAATTCAGAATTTTCCAATGTCTTCTTTTTTATCAAATGTACTTTATCTGTGGTGTATATTACTTTCTGCTGATGTGTAGGCTAGTGTGACGTCACAGATTAACCTGAGGTGCAGTGTGGGTAAACAATATCAAGTGTAGGAAGACCATTATATAACATTGAGAACTTTTAACTATTTTTACTCTGCTTAGAAAATAGGGAAGTCTCCTTTCTGAATAATCGAAATACGATCAATACATTTAACTTCCAAAAATATTTACAGTTATCAATTTGACATCCTGCACTAATCCTGTGACTGTCGATCCTTTTGAAATTGTCTAAAAAGACTTAAAGCTAAATGTGGCGTATTTGAGCTAAAAATAGAAATAAAAGAGCGTAGATTTACATGATTGCTATTTTACATTCAAATTAATTTTCTTTTACCATTTTGGAGCTTTATTACTCCCACTTAAATAGAAAGATTTTTTTTATTTCAGTAACAGTCTGAACTTATTAAAAGCAAATTAATATAACACTTGAATTTCGGCTTTAAAAGTGAAAAAAATTACATGTGATATAGGTATAAAAATGTGAATTGCTATGTCTGCCTTTTTTGTTTTTGCAACTAAATGTATTTTATGGGCAAGATTTATTAGCAAATCCTCTTTCCCATTTTTTCATCTGAATTTTTATCCCTGAAAAAATGATGTGTAGGCGACAGCCTTTTTGTTTAATATACAAAATATACTCTACGGTATATACTACAGCTATAATGAAATTACTGCAACATTTTATATTTTGTTGACAGCTATGTGAGGGGTCCGGACACATCTCTCTGACTATGGTGCGTTACTACAATCCAGGGGGTCGGGGGAGAAACGGACACCCGTGTGACGGGAAATTCTTCTTCAGCGGAAGTGACTGTGACCACAGATTTACCATCTGTCTGGACCAATCAAATGGGTGAGATGAAAATCAATGTACTGAAAGTACTGATATGCTCGATTACTGTACTGTCGAGTACACAAATGGGTGAGATGAAAAAAAACCATTTAGGTTTACTTGAAAAGACCATTAAATGCTGTAATGCATAACATAAGTTGTCTCTTCTTTTCTTCAATTAATATACGACATGGGCTGAATGGCAAAGAACACCAAAAAAGTTTTGCACAATATCAAAGAATTTTTGTTTTTGATTTTCAGTCTATACACAAATTGCTTCTAAAATAAATTCAACACAGTATATCATTTGCATTGATTGTATTGTAGACCCAACAATGTATACAGGTGTCCGTTTGGAAGGAAATCAACAGGCGAAGTTTCCAACAATAACAACAACTACTTCGGCGGAAATGTAGGAGGCGTGGCCAACCCAATGATATTTCCCTTTGCCTTATGGCCGGTAAGTCTTAATTATAAAATTATATACCTGTAATATTTAATGATGTATGTATTGGTGTGAATTAAATAACACCGTTTAGAATTTTTAATTATAAGTTCCTTTGCAGGGTGGCATTAAGATTAAGGTAGAAGTATGGGATGCTGACGATAACGACGATGATTACGTTGACTTTCTGGCTGCTATTTATAGAACTATTCCTGGTTTCAACGTCACTTCCGCTTCATTGATACCGTACACACTCGTCTCACGCACAACGTAAGCTTTTAAAAGTGCCTCCTTAGAATATGCGAACCATGTACATTTGTGATGATATACAACTGAAATGAAACAAAAAAACTTTTTTTGAATAGCTATACATCCCTAGTCTTGACATTTTTCAAAAGTTGTCGATCATTTGGCGGCCATCTTTGAGGAAAAACCGAAAGATAACTTGCAGTACCTTGAAAGGTTTTTGACAATGTCATTTGACATGAAAAACTTGACCTCTTGTTTATTTTTATTTTTTTTTTTTTTTTTGCAAAGTTTGGTTATGAAAAGATGGTTATTGATAATTTAGTATTATAAAACATCCTTAGAAAAGAAGGGGGATGGTAACTAGTTTTTATTTCTATTTTTGGGACTAATTCATGCGCAGATAAATGATAATGCAATATTTTGATTGAGACACTTATTTGATAATAAAGTAATAGCTGGCGGCCTATTTTCTCTCTCAAAACAAAAAAAAACCATCTCCACATTTTTAAATAAGTCAGATATATTCCATTGGAATTTAAATTTTATCAAATTAATCTTTCAATTGCAGGTTATGGTTAAGGTTGAAGGTTTACTGCGACCAGGACTATTATGGGGAATACTGTGCCACCTTCTGTCAGCCACGTGACAATCATTTTGGACACTATACCTGTGACCCCAACACGGGATCTAAAATATGTTTGAAAGGTAAATTATCTTTTTGTAGTACATGTACTTAGTGTAAGATACACGTAAGATACATGACAATATATAGCTTGAGTGAATGGGTTAACCCTTTAGCTCAATGGATACAGCACTTGTCTGGCAAGCTAGAGCCCTGAGTTCAACCCCCAGCAGAGGCACAAATGTGTCTCTGTTACATTTGGTGCCCACGTTGGGACCCTGGTTTTCTTTGACGAGTGAGAGTGATTGTCCCTAGAACTTTGTCCGAAAGGTGTCAGCACTCCAAACGATACTGAAAGCCACATCCCTAGGTTTAATCTCCTGCAGAGACACAAATTGTCTCTGTTACATTTGGGACCCGGGTGTTCTCTGGCAGGTGTACTGAAATGTGTTAAAAATGTAAATTCTGTTTTTTTCCGGGCCTCGAATAGTTCTTTCTCTCACCGAATGGACAGTTTTCGGACTTTACAGAGTAGACATCGGTTAACTTTTATCAATGAACACCGTGTGGTATTTGTATCATATTCGGGGTTGGCTATTGTTAAATAGATGACAACTATATTTGTTACAGGCTGGCAAGGGACATTGTGTCATGTCCAGATTGACAATTGTCAACGTTCACCTTGTCTTAATAGCGCCACCTGTGTCAACTCTCACGGAGGCTTTCTTTGTATCTGTGCAGACGGATTCAATGGTAAGTATATGTTATTATCATAGTACGATTCAATAATTAAAATGAACTTTAATTTGTATCATTAATTTTGCGAATGGAAATTTATGTGCAGAAAAATGTGTCTCCAATTTGCTATTAATCCATGTGTGTTATTATCTTAGTGAGGAGAAAAGAAAGATGGTAGTTCAAAATCATTTTGGTTCTCTTGGATATTAAAAATATTTAAAACTGGCATATGATTTTTAACTACCATATATCTATTGGATTCCCAAACTTCATAAGAATCCTTACAAACAAAGATACATTGCGGGTTCCAGAAAATGTTCAACCAAGCCTCTTTCGTTGATATTAACAGTAGTGAAGGAGAAACTTCAAGAGTACTGTACAACAATATATTCAAGAAGTGGTGTGAATTAGATGTGGGTACTAAAAATTCCAAAGAACTTTTGGACATGCAATTTGAAATAATCAGATTTTACCAAAATTAAGAGCTTAAAAGCTTTTCAACTTTATGCAAAACCATTCCCCACGATAAATTAAAGTCCAAGCCTTTTTTTTTTTAATATCATTGACAACTGCTTTTTCAATAAAAATTAGAAATTGTAAATTTACTTACTTTGCCATTGTTCTTTTGCAAAATTTTATTGTTAGAACATTAATTCCGATTGTAGACACAAGTACTCTGAAGTTGACCTAAAAATGCTTTTAAAAGTTTCTGATGACACGATAATATCTATGTTGTTTTTGGAGACCAGGTCTTCCAACAATCTATTGGAATTTGGGCCATGGGTGTCTATTGTGCCCTGTAATGCGCAGACCTTTTTACCGGCCGCCAGGAGGCGGTCGGTTATTTGAAGTCGCTGTGCGTTTCTGCGGAGTTCAAACAATTTTAAATAAAAATATTTAACATTAATAAAATAGTATATTAAAAAGAGCGTCTAAATGTTTAACAAGAACGCACAGTTAACATAAAATTATTTTTTTTAATTAAAGAATGAGGTAAATATTTCATCCAATCCTGATTGAGAAACTTAGACATGTTTGAGGTGCGGAGAAAATTAGGACATGTGTTGGGCATAGTCTAAAGCAAAGACCGCGTTATGTATATTGCACAACTTCCTCTATTTAAACAGGATTTGTTGTACGTATTTATTTTAAAATGACGTGTACACATGTACATATATAAAAATTTTCAAAAATATGGTTAAATGTTAATTCATCAAAAGACCTAGCAGGATACAGAATATTACGAGATGTTGCCCTAGCACACGAGGATAATTCACGTTTTACAATGTGCCAAGAATTTTCCCGCTCCAACTCAAAGAAACTGAAAAAAGAGAAGAAATGTAGTGGCGGATCTAAGGGTGCGCTCTTTTTTTGTGCGCAATAAATATACAGTTTTTTCAATGGGTGGCTCCGTAGCTCTCCGGTCTATCAATATATTTTTTCGGAGAGCTACAGATCTGCAGCTAATCTAGAGGAAGTTTAGTTTTTTCCTCTAAGAGAGAGCATATTTGTTGCGTTTTTATTAAATTAAAACTACACTGCATATCTAGTTGTAGATCACATTAAACTTTAGTTTTAAACTTTTAATGTAAATGCCTCTTAATTATACAGGCCCGCAGTTTGTTGACGCAGAGGACCAGGGGTACTTTGCGTATATATACATGTAATACTGGACATGCATTATATAATTAAGAAAATCATGCAATTTCGTGCACAAGCGTTTACTGCCACTAGGATATGTATTAACAGATAAATATAATATATTTTAAAACATATCACCATTTCAGTCTTCAGTTGCTTCATAAAAGGAACAATTAATTGGTTTGCGGTCGATTTTTGACTCTTGCGTCAATATGTTTCTTGTTTGTATTTATATGAAGCAGAATTAGTGCAAAATCTTATGCGTGAAAAGAAGAAAACATTTGATGTGGCCTTCAAATCGACATTAAGTTATATCGACGACGTATTGTCAATCAACAATGGTAATTTTCATTCTTATGTCGATACGATACATGTATATCCTGGAGAGCTTGAAATAAAAGATTAGCATTCAACTAATGGTCAACTGGCCGTTTTATGCAAATCATTTGATCGCTTTTCAGAAAAGCATTCAACTTCGAGTGGTCAACTGTTTTCGCATTATCAGTTGACGACTAGTTGACAGTCAACTACACATTTTCGTACCACAGAGTCTGACACAATCGTCTCATATTTGGATATTTTACTTGAAAAGATGTTAATGATAATCTAACAACCAAGTTCTTTAGTAAGCATGATAACTTAAACTTTTCTATCGTCAACTTCTCTTACTAATATGCAGCAAAATAACTTCATTCCCAGCATACGTAATTTATATATCTCAGTTGATTCGATACGCAAGAGAAATCACTACACATGAACAATTTGCAGAAGGAGGTAAATTATTGACAAACAAGTTGATGAAACATTTCAGAAGTCTCGTTTAAAGTCATCATTTCGTAAGTTCTATTGTCGATACAATGACCTTGTAAGGAAACACAATTTATCATTGAGTCAAATGCTGACTGACCTTTTTCATACTAACTGCTAGTCCATTATTTACACACTGAATTGACGACAGATTTTCCGTTATTTCCCGATCATGACAAGGAGCACACGGCGGGTGTGACCGATGCTCACTCCTCCATGGCACCTGATCCCACCTTTGATGTTTTGGAGGTCTTTGTTTGCTCTGCTCCTATTTTGTGATTTTTTTTTAATATTAAATACTTTCGTTATCTCCAAATGTTTAATTGAAATTATTCGAGTGTCCATTTGAACTAAAAGAAATGCAATTATCATTAAAAAAAAAAAAACATTTTTCAATTTTGCACAAGGATAGTTTGACAACCTTAATTTTGCACGTTTATCATAATTTTCATAATTCATCTTATTTAACGAGTTTTCGTTTGATCATTTTCATTTGAAATAAGTCATTTGTGTACCAAATAACTAAACCCCTCATTCATATGATATTCAAAAATAATTTTGCATTTTTTAAAAATATTTGTTTTACGTTGTTTGCATGGGATGTTGTTTATTTTAGGCACACGATGTGAGATTGATTTAGATGAGTGTCGATCCTCCCCTTGTCAAAATAATGCAACTTGCACAGACCTTATAAATGGATTTCATTGCACGTGTTTGAATGGATTTTCTGGAAGGACGTGTTTGGAAAATATAAACGATTGTTTGTTAACCCCTTGTAAAAATAATGCTACCTGTACAGATCTGATTGGAGGATTTGAATGTCAATGCAGAGGGGGTTGGTCAGGTATGCATTGTGACGTCAATATTGATGAATGTAGCAGCAGTCCATGTCATGGGAATGCAACATGTGTAGATGATATAGATAGCTTCCGGTGCATGTGTCCTCGAGGTATTACTGGCAGACTTTGTGATTCTGATGTAAATGAATGTCGCAATTTTTCATGTGGAAACGGAGGTACCTGTGTTAATACAGTCGGAAGCTTTTACTGCGCATGCCCTGTGGCATGGATTGGGGAAACCTGTGAGATAGATGTAAATGAGTGTGATGACAATCCTTGTATAAATGGAAAATGCACTAATTTAGAGGGAGATTTCTATTGTAATTGTTCCAAGGGGTGGATTGGTGCTTTATGTGATGTTGATGTTGATGAATGCGTGTCCTCCCCCTGCTTTGGATCTGCCACCTGTGTAAATAGTAATGGCAGCTTCTCTTGTGTCTGTCCACCAAGTTATTCTGGTAAAGTATGTGAACAAAATATTAATGAATGCAATTCCAATCCTTGCTTACATAATTCCACATGTAGCGACGGAGTGAACAATTTCCATTGTGCATGTCAGTCTGGTTTTTCTGGTAAACGTTGTGAGAATAACATTGATGAATGCATTTCCAATCCTTGCCAACATCAGTCCACGTGTATCGACACATTTGGGTCTTTTGAGTGTTTATGTCCGCAGGGCATTCAAGGAACTGTATGTGAGGTTGATGAAAACGAGTGTGAATCAAATCCATGCTTTGGATCCGCGACTTGTGTAGATGAGGTGGGTGGGTACAGCTGTGTGTGTCCTTCAGGAATGGAAGGTGATAACTGCCAAACTAACACCGACGATTGTGCTACGTCTCCCTGTGCTTCAAGCGCTACATGTGTGGATGGACTTGCTTCCTTTAGTTGCATTTGTGCAGAGGGATTCACCGGAGAGCGTTGTGATGTTGATATTGATGAATGTCAGTCTAACCCATGTCAGAACCTTTCCACTTGTGTGGACACGGTGAACGGATATCAATGTATCTGTCCCCGTGGAACGACTGGAACACTTTGTGAGAAAAACGTCAATGAATGTTCCTCTAGCCCATGTCTAAACGGAGCTACATGTATTGATGCTTTGGATGGTTACTTCTGCACATGCGCTGTAGGCTTCACGGGATTAAACTGTGAGTTAGACATTGATGAGTGCACCTCCAGTCCTTGTTTTAATAATGGGACGTGCATGGATGGAGAAGGGAGGTATATCTGTCAGTGTCCACCTGCTTTTACTGGAGGAAACTGCGAGGTTGAGATTAATGAATGTTCTTCAGATCCCTGTCATAATGGGGGCACTTGTCTTGATGGGCTTGGAGAATATACGTGTCTCTGTCCTCAGGGATACACAGGTTTTTACTGCAAAAGCGAAATTGACCATTGTTACCCTAATCCTTGTCTTCAGGAAGCAGAATGTCAGAATGCCATTATCGGATTCACTTGCAAATGTCTTGGTGGATATGAAGGGGAACTCTGTGATGAGGACATCGACGAGTGTGCTGAGTCTCCATGTGGAAAGCAAGGCCATTGTGAAAACTTTCCAGGAACATTCTCCTGCTCATGCCCTGAAGGACTTCAAGGTGAGCTGTGTGACGTAGATGTGGATGAATGTCAAGAGAATCTCTGCCAAGGAGACTCCACTTGTATCAATGAATTCGGATCCTTCCGATGTCAATGTGAAGTAAATCTGTCAGGTAAAGAAATCCACTTCTTTACTGTACTTGTATTACCTGATCACTTGGACACAAATCTCTCTCACATTTCACTCTTGAATAACAAGCAACTATTATTGCAGCGTTTTGACAATAACCTTTTGTGACTTTCAGTCATTGGTTCTAGTAGATTGACAATTATTAAATACTTTGCTGTCTTCTATTGTTACACTGTATCCGTTTTCTCCGCTTTGTTCTTCTCTGTTCTTTAGATCATATTTTGTCATCTTGACAATAACGATAACAGGAACTCATCTGAACATATCTATTTCCCACTTCGATGTATCACATTCACTGGTCTCTTTCAGCATTTTATCTTTGCATGTTTTAGTTTTTAATCATATATATATATAACCATTACGTTTGCACGTGCATATGATAACAAACGACTGTGTATCCAACACTTGCACCATTGACAGTACTGTAGCATTTACTCTCCTTTTAATTTGCTGTTCTCAAAGCTTTGGGAAGCATAAATTCACTTTATGGTCTCGACAGCTTTAAAGTGAAAGTTAAGCCATGCACTGTGTTTCAGGTACCTTGTGTGACGTTAAGAATGATTGCTATAGCAACCCCTGTCAGAACGGGGGCACGTGCAGCGTCTCTGAGGGAGAGGGTTACACGTGTCAGTGTATGGAAGGCTGGGTTGGGCCAACGTGTTCATTACAAATTACACCAGACTGCAGTGGCATAACAGGTAAATGGTCACACGAAAACACATTCCAGGATTTCTTGCTAGAACAAGCTTCGCGATGTTAAAACTACTTTTAATTATGTTACAGTAAAAGAAAATAGGGGAAAAATTGACCAGACATATTTTATGAAAAATTTAAAGAACTTATTATCGGAAGGATATAAGGTGCAGCAGTCCGAAGTCTATATATTGGTAAACAACTCAATGGAACAAAAAGGAAATAAGTAAGTATACCTATATATAGAAAACGATACAATGCTTCGATAATAGAGTCTGGTATCTTAAACAACTTAATGATGGTCATTTAAAACGAGAAATCTCTTAAAACAAATAAAACAGTGTATTTTTTTCGTTTTCTTGGCAGTTTATCCGATACATTGCTAACAGCGAGAGTTTTCATAAAAAGCCGAGCTGTGTGTTTAGGGGAGCTACAACCATTGTTAACAGAGATGAAGAATTCCCTCGTATCTGGGAGTCAACCACTTAGTAATGAGATCATACATAGCAAAAGCAATCAGGTAAAAGTAATGACATTCTACATACCAAAAGCAATCAGGTAAAAATATAAGTAACAAGGCCATATTAAGCAAAGACAACAAGTAGTCATTGGAACCGCCAGGCCATATGCAGCAAAGGATTTCAGTAGCAAAGTTTTGTACTTCTCAAATGGCTAAATTGTCTTATTGACAGAAAACGTATGATCCATTTTGGAATGCAATTTTTAATTTCAAAACCCCTGTACAGTTAAATATATTTAGAATTAAAATTGTTAGTATTACATACATGTACACGTTATATTTTATAGAGCTGGCTGTCCCTGAACTGGTATATTGTAGTGATAGCCGTGGTGTCCGCCATATTGATTCTGTCCATTATATTCTTTGTTCTTAAGAAGAGGAAGTAAGTATTCACAGCAAACTGTTTAATTCAATTTCATGTCTACGAGTCATTTTGCTATAATACTCACTTGTGTCAAATTCGTAGTCTACCCTATTCCTGCCATATAATAGAAGGAAACCTGGATCCTTTATGTTCAATCTTACTTTCGATAAGCATTACATGTAATATATTTAAAAGATGTTAAACTAAACCATTTTAGTAATGCGAGTTTATAAACTTTGTGATATATTACAGACAGCAAAAACACGTAATAAACGGAAGTCGTCGCTATAACAACGACTCTGACGTGGCTCATTTGGACGAGGCCAATGGCTTTATACCAATCACATTCGAAAACTCCCTGTACGCTACGGTCCAGCCCGAGGAACCTATCAGAGTGTCGACCAGATACGACTTCGATGACAGTTGATTCAGAGAGAGAGAGAGAGAGAAACAGTGAAAAGAGAGAGTAGGGCAATAGTGAGAGAGAGAAAGAAAAAGAAAGCAGTAAGAGAGAGAAAAAGGAATAAAGCAGAGAGAGAGAAAGAAAGCAGAGAGAGGCTGAGGCAGCAGAAAAAGAGATATAATCAGTGAGAGTGTGTGTGAGAGATCGAGAAACAGAGAGGGAAGGAGGCACTGCAAAGAGAGAGCACTGATGATTTTTTTTCTTCATTTTTTTGTGTCTAGAATGAAAAAGAGAAAATGAATTTAACATTTCATCACTACAAAAATACTCTTTATTAGTTGTCATTTGTAATAAATATTGGTTTATAAAAGAAGGCATTTTAGTTTTGTTTCTTTACTTGAGAATTGTGACTGGAAAAAAAACCAACCAATACACAGAAAACTGTCTAATCTTACACTATAAATTTGGATGTAGAATTTCTTTCAAATTTCACTACATGTATTTTTTTTCATGTTTTTACACTATGCAATTCAACACCCTGTCTATTCTGTCACCAATTTTGTCTCCCAGTGCACGTCAGATTAGACGGTTTCACTATAGGTACTCTCTCTCTTTGATCTGAATATGAACATAAAACTTAAGATGTTTTAAATGCGCAGTAAAAAAATTTAATCACTCATGAAGAGGCATTTATTTCATAAAAGCCTAGTCATTAGTCCAAGAAAGGACCTGTACATATGTTTTTGGCACTGCAAAGAGGTGTTTTCATTTACAGTAAATATTGGTTTAATACACTGTACATACAAACCTTAAGTTTATTCTAGCATAACGTAACAACTTGCAGTGTAATATTTTGTACTTCAAGACTGCAGTGAAGTTATTATACACTAAATAATTTTTTAAGAGTTTATATCCTAAATATTTCACGATGTTTTAACCTGGCTCTATGAGAATGGAGGACAGAACAAGCTTGGCTTTGTCATACACTCCTAGGAAAATGGCACCACCTAGTGTTATCCACAGCATCCTGGGTACCACCCCGGCAAATAGCCTGTTAATGGAGAAAAGATAAATACTAATAAGCCTGTCAATAGAAAAAAGAAAACTATTAATTTAATAACCAGAAAATGAGGATATTAGAAATCTTAAACACTTTTGACTTTTAACATAATTAATAACTCAGCACAAACTCAGCAATATCCTGTGCAAGGAGAACAGAAAACTAATTACAGTGAAATCTAATCCGACATCTGTGCAATTCGTCACACTGTAAATTCCAACGTTAAATTTCTTTTTCAAACTACTATTTTCCATGTCTTTTTACAGTTTGCAATGCAACACCCAGTCTATTCTGACACAAAATTTGTCACCCAGAGCAAGTCGGATTGAGCAGGTTTCACTGTATAATAAATAACTGAGATTCAGTACCTACCCCTTTGTTCCACTCTCCCTATACACAGCCCTGAGGGCAAAGGTTATGCTTCCCGTGGACAGCGCAGAACCAGTCTGGTAGAAAGATAGATTTAAATTTAAGTATCTAGTTTATAATTTCTCCAATTGATTTTTAAGAAGGAAAAACGTACTGACATGAGATGTAAGGATTTCTTATAGAAGATATGATGGATATCTTGGACAGGTGTGAAAATTTTATTTGCTTACATATTAGATATTGTTTCTCATAAGAGATATGAAAATCTTTTAGATATGTATATAATTTCTTTTTATAGTAGGACCTTGTTTATCCAGATGCTTGTGCTCCCTGACATGGATTATATAATTTGTACATGTAGGTATAAATTTTTTTTCTTAAAACCCTTCACTGATTAGAATGACTTTGTGTGTCTGTGGGGGGGGGGTGTTAATATCATGCCAACTAGTAAGGGTACACCTTTTGAACCAAACTCTATCCACCTCTGCTTTTGACTAATCAGAGTTAGCATATTTAATACAGAATACACAACAATAACATATAAACTTGGGTAAAAAAAATCAGGAAAACTTTACCTCTAAAACTGAGCCAAACCTTTCACTAAGTTATTTAACTTTAAAACAGTTTTGGGGGGAATAAAAGTGGCATCTACCGGTAGTTAGTTTTTTCAGTTAGTTTCAGGTTCAATACAACATAGTTTTTGATGAACTCATGCAAACTTTTATGAGGCAAATCATAGAGCACACTTTATAACCCCATCAAATTCAATTTATTCAGTCAAGGGTTTTGTGGAGCAGAGTAGATCATGATCAGAAACTCTTTTAATTGGGAAGATATCTGTTTTTGATATACAATTATCATACTATATCAGCTACATGTATTTTGTCAAATTTATAATACCTCTGCCAACATGATCCTAGTTTTAGCAACATCAAGTGGAGTAGTGATCCCTGCTGCTATACAGCCTGAAAAGAGACAGAACATCATTAGATTATTTATTAATATCAAACATTACAAGCTCTGAAGTGTGGACCATTTTCAAATAAACACAGGTACACTGAAGTGCACATACCAGAAGTAGCCCCACATATAGAGGATTGCCAAGGGTCCACAGGACTGCCTTGTATGGAAGACCAGGTTTTCTGTTGATAAATTCATAGCTACACAATTAAAATATGCTCATATACAGAAAACTTGTCTGTTAAAAAATTAGAAATGAATTAATGTCAATGATAATTATGCTTTCAAAAATTATCCCTTTCAATTAGACACCAACCCCTTCAATTTTTTTTTTCCAGCCTTTATAAAAGAGAGATAACTCTCAAAATTAACAATTACTTTAAAATTATTTACTTTTAAGGAGGCTAGGGGGTTAACAAACAAACCACCAGATATGACTTAAAGTTTTATATATGATATTTTAAGCTGTCAACTTTCAATTGGCAAAGAAGAACTTCATATATTTTAGTTTTAAATTTTGATCATTTTTGTATATCTTTCTATGGAGCTCTTTTTCTGAAGGAGATCAAAATAGTCTAAAAATGATCACCCAGCCCCTTTAATATAAAGCTCATGATATGTGCTCAATATGATATCCTTATATTAGTTGACTGATCTGCATTTTATGTGCAAAATAGCCTTCACTGCAGGAAAAAATCAATACCACGCTAGGTATATTGCTTAGCGAGGCACTCTGTTTAAAGCAATATGAGCTGCGTGTTTGACATCAGGAAAAAATGTTGCAAATTTGTAATTAACTATTTCAATGACAGAAAAATAGAACATTTATAAACTTCTGTTGTTCATGTTTGCCATTGAAGAACTTTTTATTAGCTTTGATTGAAGCAAATTTGAATTATTGTCGTACTGTACAATAATGATTTCTTATACAATACTGTATATTGGGTTATACAGAAATATTTCTTCTAAAACATTTTTAAACTTTATTTTGGTCTTGTTGATCATAAGGGTTAAGATTATATACAGATTAATCATAATAACACATGTTACCAGCAAAATAAAATTCTCAAAAATGCAGCTCATATTGCTTTAATAAACAAATAATAATCACTTCTCCTCAGAGATGATCAAGACATGAATTCAAATAAATAATAAGATGCCTACCTTAAAGTACTCCCAGAGTGGGAACTGTATGAAAGAGAAGGGGATTTCCCTCAGTACCGTACTAACGTACCCCCTGTATAAACCTCTCACACCCTGAACAAAAATGAAACAATTGGAAAATCATTTACTGTGTCATGTTTACATAATTTGTGAAAAAACACTGATTTTAGGGGATTTAACTGCATAGCTGTTAAACATTTTAACTAGTTTTTCATTGTTATATTTAATGAAAAAAATAAATATATTAATATCCTCACACTTTTAGATTTCTCCGCCGAAATATGGCTGAAATATTGCCGACTCGGCGTTAAAAAACAATAATCAATCGATCAATCATACCAGGAAAACAACAAAAATTAAACTCCAGTAAAAGGTTTTTATTTAAATATCAAAATGAAAACTATATTTTATTGACTTATTTTCAGAAAAATATCAAGAAAATTCAACATCAGATTTTAGAAAGCCTTTCATAAGAAGTGAAGTTTTGTTAAAATTCGGAGAGGAATTTAATATCAGATCATCACCATAAGCTGATCACCGTAATAAGATGATTGGTTATTTACCTCTGTCCTCAATGTCTCTCTAAGGACTGCTGAGGATGAGAACCGAGTCGCCTGAGCTCTTTGTTTGACCACTTCCACAGGAACTCGTATCAAACATGCTGTCTACACAGAATTAAATGACAAAAAATTAATGCATCATAATTAGCAAATTTCAAGTTACTAGCATTCTGAAATCTGTTGATGGTTGAATGCTAATGTAGTGATTCTTGAAAGATTTTTTTTTAAGTATAAAATAATTTCTTTTAAAAAATTTCTGTAATAGGAGTAGGGCCATCAGCTTTAATTACATTGTAAATGTTGACATTTTTTGATGCAAGTTTGCTCATGGATATATACTCAAGAACTTTCCCTGGTTATTCAATTTCTTAGATACATGTAAGACTGTAGAAACACAAGTTTTTGTGGGCATAAAATTTCGCTAATTTGTCATCTTAAAAGGTTTCATGGATATAACATGTTGTTGCAATATTAAGCCACTGCAAAATATATTCATATAATTAAAACAATTTTGTGTGGGATTTATTTTTGTTGATAATTGCTTCAACTACATAAATGAAATTTAATTCCCCAAGAAATATTTCTGCTTCTACAGTTATCACTTTATTTAGGTAAGACATTTCCCTTCACATTTTTTCACATAATTTTATTTTCATCCCCTGAACACAAACTTTTCACCTGCACTAGTTACTCTCTTCTCTAGATACCCACATCGTCCCCCAGCTTACCTCCCTCTTATGCAATATTTTTCTAAATACTCACAATTTCCCCTGCGGAGGCGGCTGTCATGTGAAGAACCGGCTCTAAGTCCTCCCGTAGGTATCTCCTGCCAAAAATTTTCACACCTTCATAGGTACAGAAAAACAGACCAGCTGAAAAAAAAATTATTAAAGAACATGGATTAGATGTAAATAAGATATATCTAAATTCTGTTTTAATTTATATAATTTATGGATTATATTGTAAGTATGTTCCATATATCTCCCGTAAATTAAAAAAACCTGTCTACCAATAAATGTATATCCAGGGTCTGCAAGTCTAATTTTGAGTTATGTAGCTATGATTTTGAGCTGTGTTGCTATAATTTTGGATATTTAGCTATGGTTTTGTGCTATGTAGCTATGATTTTGAGCTAGTCTACTTTTGAGCAGTCCGAAGTAAATTATGAGGTGTTAGCTAGTCTACTTTTGAGCTATAATGTAGCTATGATTTTGTATATACTTTTATTGGTAAAATTTGGTGGTATTACCAGTAGGTATTGATCCTGTGATTACTGACGTCAGTCCGGAGTAAATCCCGCGGAATCCCCCGGCCTGGACAAATCCTACCTCACTCTGAAGGCGTGTCTTCACCGTATCCAATGGAAACAAAGCAACATCTACTGACAATCCCGCACAACCCCCGGCCTGTAAACAATATCGTAGAAACCTTCACATGTAGACAGTTTAACATGTTTTATAAACCCAGTATATTTGTTTAAGTTATAAAAAAAATCAAAAATTTTTTAAGTTATCTAGTTACACTACTCAATAAATGTGAAGGTATCATTAATTATAATAACAGTATTATAACACCCTATAAATAATAATAAGAAATTACCAAGCCAGTGACCCACGCCTCCATTAAATCCATTCTCGTTAAATAAATGAAGGTCTACAGCTAACCTAAAATGTGACAAATAAAACTAATAAGAGATAAAGATGGTAATGATGAAGAAATTCGTTGTTGATAATTCTTTGTTTAGAAATGAAGGCTTTCATGAGAAATTACATCATCTTATATAATAATAATGTAGATAAATTTATAGGAAAGATTATAAATCTTGAATGAAATGGACATTTTTAATAGTCGGAATTTAATTTATTTCTCATTTTGATATAGAGCTATTTTGAAATGTCACACAGATAGGTGCAATTCATGTAATACTTTCAGTTTATAATCTGAAGTCAAGGTGTATGTATAACTTTCCATTGAGCAGAAAAATTCAATACGATACAATATAATATTTCATAAGGCGATATCCAATATATTTGATTCTTTAAAGGTGCATGGACACAGATTTGAAGTTAATATTTTCTGTATAATATCCATTCTTATATAATTTTATATTCTAATAGAATTTCACATAAGAATATATTAAAAATTTTATTTCATCTTAAAGTTATTGAAACTTCAAATTTTTGGATGGGTTTGATTGACACATCCTTGCACTCTCAAAAATTTTATTTTTATTCTTAATACTTAGGAAAAGTGGCAATCTTGTTATGTATTAATGAAAAATATTATAACTTTAATCCAGAAAAATAATTATATTCAGAGTAGAAATGTTCGAAATCAAAACACCTTCACATGTATTGTCATTCCGAGCCATGTGTTGTGTACAGAGTGTAGCAAATTGATCACATCCTTGAAACTTACATAGTTTTTGTAAACAGGGCAGGAGCTCTGTTTTTGTTCATGTTTACGATTCACTGGGAGCATTCAATTATTAAAGTCTGCTCACTACAACTGCACTGACTGACAATATACTGTGTATTTGTTTTGCTTTCGAACATTTCTACTCTGAATTTTCTGGATTATAGTTTTAATATTTTTTCATTTATACACAAGTCGGAAGATTGCCACTTTATTAAAATATTAATAATAAAATTAAAATTTGTGAGAGTGCAAGGATGTGTCAATCAAACCCGTCTAAAATATGTTTAATATATTTCTTGTGAAATGCTATTAAAATATATAAGTCGTAATATTATACAGAAAATATTAACTTTAAATCTGTGTCCATGCACCTTTAACAAGTCTATTTAAAAAGTCCTAAAATTCGATATATTGATCTGTGACATGTTGATACAGCCTTAGTCACATGGATTTTATAATTTCCCGTTGGATTTTGGCAGATACTAGTAACTACAGTATACACATTTCATAAAAATATGTACTACAGATGCGAAGAGCATTTAACAGTACAAGTCACTAGTTTAGTGCTGAATGGTAGACTTGTATTTAGTCCAGATCAGTGATCAGGACAAATAATCTATAACTAAATATCATTTTATTACCTGTTACATTCATGACTCTGTTTTGAACTCAATCATTCGGGCGTCTTCAAGAAAACTTGAACGTAGACAGTGACCTCATGGCAGAACGAATGCAATGTCATTAGAGTTATCCGCCCTTTGTTTACGGACACACGTGCTTCCGGTTTCGGTTCGTTGATACGATGTCAACATTAGAAGTTGATCTTTCGTCTTTTGATGAAGTCGCTTCGTGGTTTGGACAGAAATCATCAAAGAAAAGACAGTCAGAGGAAAGGTCTGCTACTGCTAGTTGTATTTAAAAAGATCCACTGTGATTTGATGTAACAATAAAGGGGGGGGGGGTGGTGAATAAAATGTAAAAGGTTTAAGTTTGATTTTAATGAACAGTGATGCCATAGCTGTTATCCTCAGTTACAAAAAAAGTGCATATGTCATGAAATGTATCTGAAATTTTTATCTCAAAACATGTATTTGTTGTTTGTGTCGCTATAATGTTAATATATATAAATTTATAAAATTGAAACTATCATATCATAATGTCTGAAAACATGATTTCATAAATATATATAAAGTTTTCCATTAACATTCACTTTTACAGTGATCACTGCAATAAGAGCAAGTGTAAAAAGTCAAAACAGATAACAGAAATTGAACAAGTATCAAGGTCAAATAGCTGTTCAGTGGCTTTCCAGTCACCCCAGGCCTCCACAACAATAGTACAGAGTACATCACAACAGACAGACACATCATCATTGTCAGCCTTTATACAGCAGAAAGTCAACAAGAAGCTCACCAAAGCCAGCCACAAGAAAAGGGAGAAAGGTTACTTTGTCAAAGGTATACCCTGATATAATAGAGAGAGTCGGAGCAACTAAAAATGAATTATCATTAACAAATGATTTACTCAAGCGCTCCACATCCTTAAAAATTTATGTTTATGTTTTTTGAATTTTTGTATATGTATGCTGAGATTCAAAAACTAGTAGTATTTCCAGAAATTCAAACATACATATGCATTTTTCAATCAAATTTTACACCGATGAATCAAAATGGATTTTGATAATTCAAATTTTGATACATTGCATCTATTCATTAGCATTTTTTATTTCTGTTTCATAGGGGTCAATGATGACAGAAAAGAAAGACCAGTACATTGTAACAGACCAAGTCCTGCTGATTCCTCAGGTGAAGACGAAACAAGGGATGCCATAATTTCAAAACAAGTCAAGGATTCCCAGACATCATCAAAAACTACACCAAAAAAGAAGAGGAAAAGAAAACGAAGGAGAAAATTAACAGAGACTTGATATAAAGGCTCATTTTCTCTGTAAGATCTGAAACAAACAAGAAAGGAATATTTTTATGTTTTATGTGAGATATTGACTGGTCACATGAAGCACATGTAATGTGCCAATGTGGATGTCTCTTTGATTTACATAACTCACTTGAAACTTAAAAAGCATTCCTTATCTTTACATTTTACATGTTTTAAAAACACATGTAGCAACAAAATACACTCATTGTTTGAACTTGGTTCCCTACGTTGTAACATTTTTATTACCATCTCTGTAGCCTCATTGTGACATCACTTAAGCTTTATCTCTGTCTCCATGTGCCTCAATTTATTTTTCTATGGTTGAGTATGCACAAAAATGGCATTCATAAACTATGACATACTTAGTGTAGTAGTAGTACAAAAGCACAAAAAATGTTAATACCTTAATATATTTGGTAAATTTTAGTGATCTTGTGAAAACAAAAATGCCTCTGGTAGCTGTAACCATTTTAGAAAAATACATGTTTTGAAAGTATCTTGTTAAAAATTAAACCTGTTTAAAACGTAATGTTTTTCTCATTTTTGAATTATTTCAACTACACAGACCTGGTAATGCACATGTGACACTATGAAATTATCACCTTCTTGACTGGGAACTTATTTTAGAATCTGTAATATACCACAATAAAGTACAAAATTAAACATTCACCCATTATGCAAATTATCCCATGTTTCCCACTATTGTTGATGCTCTGGCATCGTCTCCTAACTAGACAGTGATTCCTTAAACAACTGTTCTAGTTATGTATCTGCATATGATCACCAAAGGGTTTGATTAAAATATTATTTGAGAATGAATCTGTTCCAATATCTTTAATTTGAAAATGAATGCATCTGGTTAAAGACAGATCCAGTCTCATCAAGATCAAGATTGATTGTGTACACATTTGAATGCATTATTCATGCAAATTGATCCTTCAAGTGATTATAATTTAATCACTCAGGGATGAGATTGTTCCAATAATTTTATTTCGTTTACTCAGTAGGAAATTGCAGGTCACTTCCTGTAACTAAAGCAGGTTTGATTAGTATGCGTCCCAATGCATCAATCATACAAGTGTCGTCGACAGAAACCTGGTCAATACTGGCTGCAAATGCAGTGTATGAAATTTTACTGGTGCAACGATAGGTACTAGACACATCTTATCTACCATCATGATCAGTATAGGGAATAGATAATTTCTCCAAAGAGAGCCTTAAAAAATTCAAATTAATGAGTCTAGTATTACAAATTATCTTAAGGAATTTTCTGCTTAAAAAAGTAAATTTTGAAAAATAAAGATTTTTAAAGTTGCGTACTGGGCTGTCATCTACAATATTCCAAGGCTCAGTATTGTTATATAGTTTGTTACGCAGTGGCAAAGTTTCTGGTTAAAGTAATGCGTACACAAACGCAAATTACATGGATATAAATGGTGTTAAGGCTATTTAGTTGCATGTTCATTATCAAGTTGCAAGCCCAAACATTGAACGTTTCTTTCTTTAGTTAATATCATACTGTGGGGACCTTTTTCCTAATTATATAAAGGGAATTAATTTATATATATACTGCCAGGTTTTTTTAATGGTTTTGATCCAACCAATGACTTAGAATCGAATTAGATATTATAGGTTGATCTGTTTTAATTACTAATATATAATAATTAAAAAACACACATGATAACATAATATAAATTTATTCAAATAACAAAATCTGCAACAACAACATTTACAAATACTGTAATAGAGGGAGGTCCTGGGTTGATCTAAAAATGATTGCAATTAAAAAAAAATAATGATAATAACAGCACAACGCTAATAAATTCAGAGAGATTAGTAAAATAGAGATACTCTTTCCAGCTTATAAAAAAATAAACCGAAAATACGTACAATAAGCATATTCTATTACACACCACTGAAATAAATAGCAAATTTCTGCGCATGCTCTTTGTATGAACATTGAAAAAATTGATTCTACCAACCAAATTGGAATCAAGTCGTACTTCGGTATCGTGTATAAAATACTGCTTCATAAATAACTCCTAAGAAAACATTTATTACATATATATTGATTTGATCTGTTAAGAATATTACTTAAATGGATCGATGGTTAATTGAATGCATGACACCTAACTTCTATAATGTGAATCATTGTTAATTTATAATTGGTTAAGCAGGTTAAAGTTGACTTGTATTAATTGTCCCAGATATTTGACATCTACAGGTAGACATACGGAATAGTCAACAGACATATATCCTAACATCAAATTATTATTATCGTAATAAAGGCTTTATAACCCTGATATCCATTAACATGATCAATAATTCTTATACATTACCATTCTTATTAGTAATTCATATTAAAAATTCGGGTAAATTACTGCTCGAACTATATTCCTCAGAAATCAACTATTGAATTTAAAGGGGGAAAAATGTATAATTATATATTTGAAGAAATAAAACGCTCTCATTTATATTTATTGTACAAAAATACTGAAAATAATTTAATGTATATCTTTATACAGAGAAGGATTTAACTGGGTTCTTCAGATATACGAGTATTATGAAATTCAAATAGAAGCAAAATGGGATTTGAGAATATACAAGCATAATGTGCAGCATAAAAATCAGTCTTATAAAACAGCTGAACAGTATATTAACAGTAGATTATTAAAAAAATATCACATACATGTACACATGAATTATAATACAGCAACAAGAAAACACATTTCACACATAAAAATTCACTGAGAAGTCATAAATTTTCGCGTGGTAATTATGGATGGTTTCGTGAGAGGAGAGCCACGAATTAAGGTCCTCCCCACGAAAGAATATCACTGAGCTCAGTGTTAACACGTTTTCAACCTCCATATCATTCCCCAATAACTTTCTCAAACCTCACTAGAATAAATCACTATTGCAGTAAATATTGCTCAAAGTTTTAGAATTTAAAGTTCTTGGATACAAAATGTCAATAAAAAACTGACATAATGGAAATACGGATAAATCTCTATGTTATTATTAATGTGAAAACAGACAAAGGTTGAGTGATCAAAAGTTAGCAATAGAACGCTACTCGGTAAAATATCAGTATACAGTCATTATCTCATATCACAATGTTAAACAGGATCATCTGACTGCAACTGACGTCTCGCTAGGCTGGCCAGCTAGACTAGATCGGAAGCAATCTCAACCATATTGCAAAACATATCTACACATTTCAAAACTTGAAGTCTAAATACATTCTGCATCAATATTATATTGTATTTGATATACAAAGTCAAACACAACTTTACTCTTTATCAAAACAGCAGATATGTTTCAAAATGTGTCAACTACAAAATATAAATGGCACCAGGCAAAGAGTCGTTGTGTTTACATATATTAAACGTGACTTTTATTTCTTAAAAGTCAATTGATATTTAAAACAATGTCTCTTGCACTTCTATTTAAGAATAAACCTAAATCTCGTTAGATTCAAGATAAAAAACTACTTTAATTAGTAAATGGACGGTGTCACATGATCAGAACAGCGAGTCCTGATTGGTGGGATTCCTGATTGGTTGATCAGTAATTTGTTGCTGCGATCTCGCACAACTTCCAGTTGGCCCCATTCTCATTATTGGCTAAAAACACAATGACCTCCTCGCAGTGCGGGGCGTCAGGACAGCTGCACCGGAAGCCACATGTGGAGAAACTGTTAGGTACTGCATTGTCAGCTGTCAGGTTGCAGAATTGAATGTTGCCATGGAATTTGCCGACAGAACTGGATTCTGGGTAGGAAACCTGTAACGACGCGGGAGTAGTCACCTGCAGTAGATATGAATACTGTCAAAGATCACTCGTCAGAATTATGTCTTTATGGAAACTCATGGAAACACGATGTTTCTTTTCACTTGTTACTTTGTCTGAATGTGAATTATTCAAGATATTTTCTTTTTGAGTCTTGCATTAAAAAGTTACGTATTAACCAAAAATATTGGTATGGTTCAAGTTATACCATCAAAAGTTTATCAAATATATAAATATTTTATTTATCAAATATATAAACATAGAAAAATCTCATATCCTCTCCTTGTATAATAGGTCAATATTATTTACCCGAAGTACACTGTTGTTTCAGTAATTTACTTGAAGATCTCTGTTGATTAAGTAATTTACCTGAATAACTGTTACTTTCAAGTATTGGTTGAGTCATCAACCTGAAAACCCTTTAAAATCCGGTTGTTTGAATAATTTACCTGTCAAACCCTATTATTCACGTAATTAACATGTACATGTAGAATCCTTTTGTTTTAATTATTTACCTGTAAACCCTGTTGTTTATAAGTAATCTACATGTAAACCCTGTTGGTTAAGTGATTTACCTGTAAAACCCTGTTGATTAAGTAATTTTATTACCTGTAGAACCCTGTTGTTTGAGTAATTACCTGTAGCACCCTGTTGTTTGAGTGTCTTGCGCACGATATTCCTTCACCTGATATGACGATATCAAACTGTGAGGCGTTTATTCCAAGGACTACAGATGTATTCATCCGCGTCCAGAACAATGGCGGAGTTTCACCTTGTACGGGAAGATCAAAACAGGTGCCCGTATCTCCGTCCAGTGCATACGGAATTTTGGACTTCAGGTTCCCTGACTCGTCGTTAAAGATATCAAGGTACCCGTCAACTAAAACAAGAAACGAATACGATTTTAATCCGTATTGTCACTTGTACTATTTGGATTTCGAATTCTCAACGATAAGACTGAAAGAAGCTAAAATGATATTTGTACAGCATAACTTGATACATCTTGTAAAATGTTAATTGTTATTGATCAAAGTTTACGAGTTTACTAATTGAAATACTAAATAAGCTTCAACGACTCTTCTCTTAAATGAGATAACCAAAACTTCGATAAATTGGTTATTCTCTCTTTATAAAATTGTCAGATGCAAAATGTACTCTCTGTCAAATATTCCCCAACAAGATTTTTGCAGGAAGGGATGAACTGTAACAACTCCAAGTTTATGCCGAAGGACTAAGGTATTCTATTTTTACTCATGGGGAGAAGATACGTACGTTTAGTGACAACCATCTCATGGTTGACATAACAGCTTTGTTCGCATGACTTGTTGTGCAGGTTTGTTAATCCCACGTAGCTTGTGATGAAAGGTTTGTCGAAATTGTAAACGGAGGCATTGCCACCATCAGGCGTGAACTGAGTTTAGATAGAAAACAAAGTTATTCATTTCTCAGTCATTTCTAGTGAATTTAAACTAAATCAAGTTACGAGGTATTGAAGTTCTACTCACAGTTACTGGTTTGTCCTTAAACTCCACGCCGTCAAAGCTGTATTCGATTCCCCGCACTCCTGGAAAGACGCCGCCATCTTCTAAATCAGAGGAGTCAATAGCCACACCATGGATCTTAGCGAGATCTGCGTAGTAGTCCTAAATAAATGCAGACCAGAGAATAAACGTCATTTTTAAATCAAGATACAACTTTTTTTTAAAATTGTCAATTAGAAACGCAACGACTCTTATCACGTGACTTACTGGTGCCCGGATGCAGATCTTGTACTGCCCGACCCACACTTGAGTTGTGCTGTATCGAGATCCCAGACCGAACCACTCGTCCCGACTCGAGTCCACGGATGTGTCATTCCGGATTTTGACTGTCAACCGAATCCGGACCTTGTCTTCTTCTGTGTCGTTTACGATTCCAAGATTACACATCACCGGAAAAACAACGTTTACTTTGGAGTACGTTCCATCCGACAAACTGGAAGAGGAAATCAGTTTACCTTTTGTAAACAACAAACTAATAGCAACATAACATGACTGGATCTTTTATTTTGACATACATATTCTATTTTGAATATGCCACAAAGTATATACTTTACTTAGAATGCAATATTTGTATTCAAATAAAAAAAGCTATCTTGAGATGTGACGTCACGTTTTATTTACATGATGTTTGTAACCAATCAGTCTACTTTACTTAGAATGCAAATGTAAAGTCTCGCAAATGAACACACACAATTAAGTCTTATTTTTTTCTAGATATAAAGTAGGTTTTTGGCATGTTAGATATTTCTTTGTCTATCTAGCTTTACTTTTAGTTTAACCTTACACTGTCGTGTTGGTGGCTTCCATGATTGTAGCGTTGTTGATACACTTCAGGTTGGATCCGATCCTCTGTATGTCGTAGCCACAGATGACAAAGAAAGACTCGCTGTCATTGGTGGGCACAGCCAGCTCCACGTTCACCTGACCTGGATTCTTGTTCTTCTCTGTGGTGATGTCCAGGAAGAATTCGAACACAGATCCCCTCGTTAGACAGTTTTTGGTGCAGTTGTGGAAGAAGTTAAAGGAAAAGTCGACAGGTGCCTGCAGGTATTGTAGGTAGAAGAGTGAGAGTTGTATTTAGTCTGTGATATTTAGAACTAACAAACAAACAAAACAGAACCATGTCAGAATTTGTAATCAAAATAAAGAAAATAAGACGGATCTAGAAAAAAAAGGTTTGAAACACCGTCTTTTGAACTAATTTTAACAGGTACTTCACATAACAGTTGAGCTATCTGCGTGTGCATGATTTTATTCCGCCAAAGACGCAAACCAACACTGGCACGTTCATTATTACAGGTCAAATAAGGTAAAGAAAATGAATATTCATAAAATTGAGAAGACGACCTCGCTGAAAACATTAGAGGTGGGGTAAGGTGCACCCTTAGGAGGAATAAGAACCCACTGGAGGCGTAAGTTCTGGTTATATAAACGAAGCAATCAATGGAATGATAACAGTGACCTATTATTGGCATGCATGAAACAAGTCAAGCAAGCCTGATTATTATAACGTGCATAGAATTTGTGAACATTCACCGTAACCTCCTGAAAGCTCTTGTATAACTAACCCGTCTCATTTTAAATATTAATAACACATGATCTTTTCATAGGTATAACACGGCAAAATCAGTGAGAAGGCGGAGAATTTGAAGAAATAGAAATGACTTTAAAGGGAACTCTTGTTCTTCGGTGTAAGCAACTGAATCTAGTTAACGCCTGCGTGCCCATCTAAACCAAAACAAGTAAATGACAATAAAAACGAAGAAATTCTAAAGTATTATTTTATATACTTACATCTGGCGGATTTTCGCACACAATGTCCAGTTCATTTGTGTTATCATTCAAAGTTGTATGACCGCTGAGCCCGACTTTAATTGTATGTTTCTGTCCAGTTAACACGAATCCTGGTAACGGCACCAAATAAACCTTTACCGCAATCGTGTTATTTCCACCAATATGACTCATTGTCCCAAAATTACTGATGTTAAAGGTCATTGTGGCGGAGTTCTCCACTGCGGTGTTGGCGGTTGTGCTCTCTCTTGTCAAATTTGTTTCTGAGCAAAGTATATTTTGTCCGCTTTCGGTGACCTCCATGTGCGCCACCATTACCCCAGCAGGACGGGCGGTGTTTTCAACCACTTCCACTGTTAGAGAGAAAACTGTAATTCCTGTTTCTACTGTGGTGATGTTGACAATGAAATCCGTCACAGCACTGACACAGGCTGTACTGTTAACACCAGTAATCGCCATCGACATACTCTGCCATACAAAGAAAAAGGGAACGCTGGATAATTTTTTACTTGAAATATGTTTTTAAAATACTGGTAGTGTCTCTGAGTATTTTTCGGAAAACTTTACTCTCAAAATATTACAATGTCCAGAATTCTTTAAATAATGCAATGTAATACAAATGGAAAAGTGTTGCTTTATATACTAGTAAATAACCGAATAAGTTTGAGCCATAATCTCTTTAATTATTACAGTCTGAATTTCATCTGTCAGATTTCTTTTTTTTTTTTCATTTTTAATCTTACAAAAGTCTGAATGATAAAGAACTTGAAATTATTTATAGCTACAGTTAACTGTTGATGCCCTTATTCTAATGATAGATACATTATATGAAGTCAAGGGTATGTTGTTTGGAATGGATTTTGTTCCTAATTTCGAACTTTTTTTATTTCATGGCATTCAGTTATTTGAAATATTTATGAGCTATATCACAAATAATATTTGCAAAATGCTGTTTAAAAATGCATGACTGAAATATTTACTTTTTAATTGATATTGCAGGAAATGAAATGTGAAACGAATGAAAAATTCATATTTTTGTTCAATTTACTCTGCGTCACCATATATTGACTTGTTCTTGCATATTTTATATTGAAAATAATATTATAAAATTTGAATTTTAAAATTGATATTTAATTACAATTTGGTTATTTTATTCATTAACAATTTTTGATAACATAATATTGTCTGTATTTTACTTTATAAATTTCGCTTCATTCTATCTGAAACCTGAAAAAACTTCATACTTAAATAATTTTACTTGGGGTATTAGCAACATAAAAAACTTTTTTTTCGTTGAAGGATCCGCCCCACTGAATTACCGGTTGGGATCCACTAGCTGGGCCTGCTGTAAGGTTGAAGTAGGAGACCCAAACTTCCGCCGTGTCTACTTCAATTCCGAACCCGATCGGATATTCATCGCCTTCCACTGCATCTTCTGTCATCAATATAACAGCCTCGAATTCGATCCGGTCGTCGATCGTGGAGTTGGCGGGAGACGCCGAGCGTGACTCTATAACCGGAGAAAAGCAAATGTTTATCAAAGAGCCCCAAGCGATGTAAATCGATATGTACCTTTGTTGTGTAAATTTATACAGTAACCTTCCGTGAAATAGGATGGACTCATTAAAAATTCCATTATCTCATCGAACATTTTTTTGTTAGGTTTAGAGTCAGAAGAAGAGATGAATATCGATGTGTTTTTCTACTCTGTGTATTATTTGTGCATGATACAGAATGTGGGTTTTCGATTTTTCAAATAAGTATTATTTTAATCAAGCTTAGAAGAAAATCTTTCAATAAATATTTTTTCGATGCACCTTATAAAAGAGAATGTAATTATATAATGAATAAAAACAAAGTTACAAATCATAATAATATGATGCATAATTCTTTTTACTGTACACTTGATTTACTGTTCTCTGAGGTTTGCAATAAACTAAAGAAACCAGTTGTATCTACTGGAGAGATAGACGCCTCTACTTTGTTGAACTACCTGATATGATATAACTTTTCTTTTAACCATAAGGTAAGGTGAATCTCTGGATCAACCTCATTCCTCACACCTTATATCATTTCGAGCATCCCTTTATGTGTTTTTCATTTAATTGAAAGCAAACAAATAAATAATGAACTTCATGTCAAGCCAAAGTAAGGAATATTTTATGGAAATAATTCCAGGTGTCTATATTTTTTAATCTAGCTTTATTAACGTTTTTGAGCTCAATGACTTTGTGAAAACTTTGAAATTGCACATTGACCTTGGCTGGGTTAACTTGATATGTGTATTGATGATTGTTGTTTTGTTGTTTTTGGTAATGGTGTACTGTCAGACTTGAGAGTTTGCAACCTTAAAAATTTTAATATTTTTGTACAGCGAAGATCTGAAAGCCTTTAATTGTCTGTATGCTTTTTGTAATCAAGGGAAGCCTTGAAACGGCTTTATGTATACTGTTTAAGTCAATAGAAGAATTCAAATAGCTTTAGATATGCTAATTTAGCCACTGAAGCTTTAGATCTTCTCTCAATCTTTGTTCTTTTGGCCAATTATTCCGTTTGATTGTTTGTTTCATCACCAAAACCACAATGGTTTTAATATTTTTGTTGATTACGTCAAGTGCACACAGGACAACACTCTGAGATTCATTAAACTGATAAGTGACTGGAGGGTACCTGAAAGGTAACTAAAGGTACTGATAGGTGACTGGAGGGTACCTGAAAGGTAACTAAAGGTACTGATAGGTGACTGGAGGGTACCTGAAAGGTAACTAAAGGTGCTGATAGGTGACTGGAGGGTACCTGAAAGGTAACTAAAGGTGCTGATAGGTGACTGGAGGGTACCTGAAAGGTAACTAAAGGTACTGATAGGTGACTGGAGGGTACCCGAAAGGTAACTAAAGGTACTGATAGGTGACTGAAGGGTACCCGAAAGGTAACTAAAGGTACTGATAGGTGACTGGAGGGTACCTGAAAGGTAAGTAAAGGTACTGCTAGGTGACTGGAAGGTAACTGAAAGGTAACTAAAGGTACTGATAGGTGACTGGAAAGTAACTGAAAGGTAACTTAAGGTGGTGATATGTGACTGAAAGGTATTTGAAAGGTTATTAAAGGTACTGATAGGTGACTGGAAGGTAACTGGAAGGTACTTGAAAGGTAATTAAAGGTACTGATAGGTGACTGGAATGTCACTGAATGGCAGAACTTTGTCATCCAGTGACCTTTGTTGACCTTTCAGCCATCATTCAGTTGAGTAAATGCATGGTGTAGGTTTATCCTGTTGTGGACGATTGTTACAGTAGAAAGTTTTTAATTAGATTTAACTTTTTGTTTACCGGTATTTCATTACTTGAACTTCGTTTTTTATCCCCCAATGTCTAACATGGCTTAAACTCTTTTGAGCACTTCAGATCATAATTGATATAAAATTCCTCTTATTTATTTTTTGACAGATTACCTTATTTATTGGTAAAGAACCAATATACTAGTGGACAATTTAACCTCGCTTTGCAAAAGGTATTGGTTAACCTAAAACTTATATCTAACCTCTTCTAAGTGGATACAATCAGGAATGAAAGCAAGAGGTACAAATCATTGAACATTTTCCGTGACTAAACAATAAAGAAAAATTTCTGCCTTAGTTTTGTTTAAATTTTCGTCTTGTGAAATAATAAAAAATTTGTTTTTAGAGCTAATATTATATTATTATTATAGACATAGTAATTCAAGGATTTACATGTATACCGAAAGCATTTCTTGAAAATCATCAAGAAAAAGTTTTCAACGAAATATGGAAAACAAATATTTGTAGAAAATTTGTTAAAATAATGGCTACTTTTGCAAAGGAATCATAACAACCAAGGTTAAAAAAATTATACAAACGTACCGATAAAATACATACGTAAATATCTTGATGTATTGAATAGGTGATTGACATCATTTATGTTCATGGCTGAATATTTTGTACCTTGGATTAGATGTACAGGGTGTCCCATAATATATGATATCATTTTAAATTATTGTCGGAAACGCAGGTCTTGACCAATTTCTTTGAAATTTGTCTCCTTAAATATTTAAGTAAATACAAATTTTAGCAACAAATAATTTCATTTAAAATTTTTCACATAGCTGGAGTAATGTTGCCACATAATTATGTCAAAAAAGTTTTAAAAATTGCATTTGAGCCAAAATTGATTTATCAAATAAGCTGGGTACCCTAATTTCAAAACTGTAATTATCAAATCCAGTCTTAAGATATTGTTACTAAACCTAAATATAAATCTTTAATTAATCTAAAAAAAAGTATATATCCAATGAAAATCTAGATTATAACTAAAGAAAAATGCATTTTTCTTAAGTTATGGAATTTTGTGCAATGTCTAGACATGATTATTACCCAGATTGGATGTCATTTAGAGGACATTTGTTAACAACAGGATTTTTCAAAGTAAACTCAATTTGTCCAGTTCCTTTTATTGTCCATAAAATTTTGTGAATAAAATTGGACAACATATGCAATGTTTATAGTGCATTTGTTGTAATTCAATATTCATTACATTATATTTTATGTCTCCATGAAATGGTATCAAATATTATGGGACACCCTGTACCTTTATTTGTGAGAGTTGTTGGTAGAACCAGTCGAACACGTCTTGACCCCGTCCAGCTAGAGTTACATAAAACTGCCGACGACGTCGTTTTCTCTAAATCTACCTGCAGAAAAACAAAATATGTGCATTAAGCAGAGAGAACAAAAATTATAGGTAAACAGTCAACGAAAGAATGGAAAAACAACAATAACAACAACAACAAAAATGAAAATGATCAAAAAATGAAATGTGCATGAAACAACATTTTGGATCCCTTGAATTTTTTTTCTTTTAATACCGGTATATCCCAAAAGTTTATTTCAAAACTAAACATTAAAAGAGAGAAACCCTCTGTTAATTACTAAGGTATACTGGAACAAAAGTTGTACCTGTGGCGCTTCTGTTGTTCCGTCGAAGTTTCGACCCACTGACTTGACAACCAATGACACCACCTGGACGTCTCTGTTGGCAGTGTCGCTGTGGAGATTAATGGCCTCCGCTGCAATATCAGGGCTGGGATACGGCATCCACGTCTCAAACACCACCCTCAAAGTCTCCCCTTTGTTCAGAGTGGTGGCACTGGAGGGGCTAGTCAAGTTATATACGGGTGTCTTCGATACAGGCTATCAAAATAAAGGATGCTCATGTTTCATGCAGAAATATTGGATATATTAACTTTTATATTATCTTTGCTTGTCGATATCAATTCTTTCTGAATTTGGTCAAAGTTTCTCAAAATCTTCAATGTGTGTTTGATAGTGATACATGTGAGAGCAATTTCAATTTAGTCAAATACTGATGAGGGGCGGGGGGTGTTCAAAATAATATGGGTATAGAAGCGCCTTATTTTGGTTTGAGCTGAGGAGGTTAACACGTCGGACAGTTTTGAAGTCCAAAAAGGGTTAATCATCTATGTTCAAGGAACTGTTTGACAATGTTTATTGTAAAAAATTTAACTTTATATAACAGAATTTCAAAATGCGATTTACTAATATTAATTGTGTTGTTGAGGACTTACAGGGTTGGTGGCGGATCTCATGATGTAGGACACCTGACCAATCCACACGTTGTAGCTGTTGTTGTACTCAATTCCCGCGCTGACCCAGTGAGTGGCGCCATCTGTGATCCCGTCCAACGACACGACAAAGGCCTCGTAGTCAATCACAAGATCGTTATCCGCGTCCGTACCAGAAGTTTCCGAGTTAAATACGTCAGAAAAATTGTACACACCTCGGGTATAGATTTTAAAGGCAGTCTACAGAGTAATAAACAACACAATGTATGAAATCTGCTGAAAGAAATTCTTAGAGATTGACACTCGGATGTATTTTACAATTTCTTTAACGTTGATATGACAGGGAATGTACATGTACATAATAGGATATGGTAAGGATTATGGACAAATTGAATTAAGTTTAAATCGAAGCTCTAATGAAAGAACTTTTCATAAATAGACAGGATCTACACATTTTCAGAAGTGTTTTTTTTTATTGGTGCAATAATGCTTTGTAAATAGGTTTATGCACAATGTAACCAGATGAATATTTGCATTTTACAACAAACTATTTTCGAATGTTCATAATTATAAAATCTTCATAGGAAAGATTAAGTACAGTAACAACATGTTTCATATTAAAAAAGTAGTTAAAAAAACCCATACGCCACACTCACGTCTTTAGAGTCCTCGGTTGGGTGGTACACCATCTTCATGTTGGGGTCGATATCCAGATTGCTGCCTCTAGTCATGGTCACTTCCCCGACCGCCATCACCGTCACGTTCGTGGAGGGCAGGATCTCCACCACTACTCCCGAGGTAGTCCCCCCGGGAAATCCCACGGTTAGGGTGAACTCGACCTTTGACCCAATATACAGGTCAGTAACAGATGAGTAGGCAGCTTTGACAGCAACACTGGGAGTTAGTGTACTTGGAGCAGCTGTGAAACCTGTGTTAATCGAACACTCTTATTAAATTACAGTATGAATAGGATTCTTGTTTTATATGTCTTTGTTGTTGTTTTTTTTTTTTTTTTTTTTTTTTTTTTTTTTTTTTTTTTTTTTTTTTTGGTGTTTAATGTTTGATCAAAGAAATATGTTGTACATATCACATCTTCTTAGTTAATCTTGAACTCGATTTTTAAACTTGAATAAACAGTTTGCTCTGTAAAAAGTTTTTTTTTAAAATTGCAAATGTGTATATTTAAGAAGAAGAAAAAGATTCAAAAAGACATCCAGATTATGGTTAATAAAACAGTCTGGAAATAGATACATAAGACAATGTTTAAATGATTATTTGCCAGAATGGTTCGCTGATGTTGAATAAAAAATGAAATATTTATATACTTCATGTAAGTGTATCTAAAATTGATGTCTGATGTTTGAGTTAATACAAACATTTATTATTTATATTTTATTTTCATGTCCGCCTTTTAGGCTTTTTCTGTGAAATTTGTTTTTGTCATGTTACGCATATAGTCCACATCCCAATAGGCAAGAAAACACAGAACATACAGAGTAAATTAATATTGTATTTCTAAACCAATTCATCAAAACTTTAGTACATTAGACCTAGGTGTATAATGAATCATTTTAAGTTGCAGAATTTGTAATAAATTATTCAAAATTTTAAAAGAAATTATGTTTATGTTTGTGTGTGTGTGAACATAACATATTTTCTCCATTAGCATCTTTAATTTGACAAACAAAAAAAATCCTATAAATAAAACATATTTATTTGAATGCATTTTTCTTTCAAAAGCGTTTCAAATCATATTCGTTAGTTTTCTGCACAAAAGTCTAACCGGTTCCGATCTTACAGTAATAAAAGTAAATACTTTTAGGAAAACTTTAAGAATATTCATTTACATCAAACACTTTTTTTTACAAAAACATTCAGCTAACTGGCATGTGGTCATATTGACTGCAAAAATATATATCGGTATTCAAGGGATGGCCTTTTCGTTTGTTCGAGTAAGTTGCTACAGTTTATAAAAGAAAGGAACATTTAAATAATCCTTACAAATTATTACACTTATTTTACTGAATTAATAAGATAGAATATATGACACCTAAGAGATAATTTGATGTTTCAGGGCTTAGAATGAAATAATTAAAGTTGCAAATTTTGTGGTATTAATCATAAATTTGTGTTCAAATAGGTTTTCTATTAGTTGGGCTATTGCTTAATATACAAACTTTGAGTCAGTTCACTCTTCATTGCAGAGGGCTCAGAATGGAGATTGGTATGGGATACTGGCTCGTCATGGACACTGGATCCCTCCTTTTGTGTTTACAGGCGTATGTGATAACGTATATTGTACTTTTTTCATATATTTTGTCAAAGTATCAAACAAAAGGCGCGAAAAACCCAGGGACCCGTTTCACAAAACTATCTTATGACTAAAATCTGTCTTAAGACCGAAAATTATCGTAAGATTGCACCATAGCCGTTTCACAAAACTGTCATATCTTATGATAATCTTAAGATTTATCATAATCTTAAGACAACTACATACTTGTCTTAATTCTAAAGTGAAACTTGTGACAATATGTATTTTTGGCTAAACACGAAAGGATCTTTAAAGAAAACGGTTTTTAGAGATAGAACAATCCTTTGGACTATATCCGGCCAGTCAGAACAATAACCTCCCCCCCCCCCAATAATTTGCTAAAAAAAAATTATACGATAGAAAAACTAAAATGTATCTACTTTATGTTATCCACTTTATTAATTTAATTTCAAGACATTTTTCTTTGGTTTTGCCCCCTCCCAACTGAAATTGCCCCCCCCCCAAAAAAACAAATGCTTTTTAGGACCATGTGCATATTTATTGATTTGATAGGTCCACGAATTTTACTTTAATTCTTTTTGTTACTTTGTGGAAGACAATATATAAATGGTTATTTGTCTCTAATGGTGGTGATTTAATATCAAAGTAAATATTTTATTCAGTCGAACAAAATTAGATGAAAATCAAAAAGTTTAATTTCTGAGGTATCCTCATTAATCCATCGGAATGTGTATGACAATTCAATATACTGTAATATTTGATGCTGTATGTACATGCTTTCTTTATGTTTTTTTTATAATAGTATTGAAACCGTAAAAGAACTTTATTCGGTAATAACCAATATTTGCCCCCCAAATCAAACTTTGATGGAGATATATTTAATTAAGTTCTTAAACAGGGGAGTATATGCTGACTTCAAAACACTGAATATTTTCATAAGTAATGACGCCATATGTACGTAATGACGTCACAAACATGACGTAAATTTCAGTTTTAAATTATGAATTTTACAGAAAAATGTACATATTTCGTCGATATTTTGAGTAAAAGTCACCGAGCGCATGTGTGTTCAGGATCAATATTTTGATATAATGTGTAGAATGATAATATCAATGAAATATGTCAATATTGTTCCTGAACAAACTTGTGCTCTATAAATTTAAAAGCAAAAATTGTTGAAATTTTATCCATTTTGTCCTCTTTCTGAAAAAGGATATAAAATCAGACTAGTTTGTGACGTCATTAAAACAAAAATTGTGAATACACTGCTTTGACAATATAATATTTTGCGTTAATTTATATTTCTCATACAATTTATTGAATTCAGCACATTTTAGGAAGTTTTCAAAATTTGACTTTTATGGGGGCAAATATATGCAATATACCGCATATAGTTCTTTTGATTGAAATTTTTTCTTTCGTTTCTTTTGTCTTCATCTGTTAGCATTGATATTTTGTTGCAGTATAGTTGAAGCGTTTCAAAGACACCTGCATAGAATTAATTTTATGAAAGGGATTGGTGTTTTAAAAGAAGTCATTGTTAAAATCGTTTATTTGCAAAGCTTCAGATACACTAGTAGTTTTAATTAAAAATAATCACATGCATTTTGCAAGAAACTATTTCTTGAGCAAAAAACATTGTAACAAATCTAATTTATTAATTTTTTGTGATGAAATTAATTCAAATTTAATTTTAATGACCCTCTTCCCAACACACACACAAAGCTGGTGCAACAAAATGTTTTTCCGAGGGTATATCTGCAAAAGAAACTATACGAGACAAACATTATTTCAATATTTCAAAGAAAATTAAAGAAAGACTTTGTGAAAACATATTTTAAGAAAAAAACATCCCTGTGATATTGAAGAATGGAATTTGTCTTAAGACTTGTCTTAAGATTTCTTATACTTAAGATAGTTTTGTGAAACAGCAGTGAGAAATCTTATGATTGTCATAAGATTGATCTTAAGATTATCGTAAGATCTATCTTAGGACAAATCTTACGATAGTTTTGTGAAACGCGGCCCAGAAGTTTATCATATTTAGCTTTACGTACTTTTAGACCAACTTTTGAAGATAACAAAATTTTCATGAAGATGGACTAAAATAAATAAAGTGAAATAACAAAGTTCAACTTAAAATCCATTGATTAAAGCCTCAAAGAAAGAAACAGAAAACCTTTTAAAAAATAATAAGACAACCATTTATTACTCAAAAGTACTCTAATAGTTGTGAACGTAATGTTTAATTTCCCTTTCTTATGAGTACCTAAGGGCAAAATTATTGACTTCTGAATTAATTCAGTACATGTAGAAGTTCAGACAAAATTAGGAACAAACAGATGTATGTCAGAGAGGTATGGAAAAACAATACAATATTTTTTAGATTCTTTTCTTAGTTCATTTAAACAATACAAATCTAGAGCAGAGCAAACACTTCAGATATTTTTTTTTAATATACAAATAATAATATTGATTCACTCCATGCAATAGACACAATACATAGAATCAGCTGCATGGTTTACAAAAGTCCTTTTCTAGCTGCTGTCCTTTCTGACATAATTTATTTTCTCAAATAAACTCTAAAATAGTCATATTGCAGACTGAGTTGATTTGATAAAATAAATTATGTCAGAAAGGACACTATCTTTAATCTTAAATAAAAGAACAATTGTCAATTGGTTTTGTTCTCCATTTCCTCCTATAATATATGTTTTATATGTATTACGACAGATTTAAAAAAAAAAAGAGAGGAAAATTTTACAGCAGAAAATATACCCAGATTTATTATGTAAACAAAACGCTGTCTTTGAGAGGTATATTTTAAAGCAGTTGTTTGAAGTTCTGAATCTCATGTTTACACAAAACACAGACATGAGACTAAAACTGCGATCGCCTGGGTACCCTGTTATTGTACAGACCGGCAGCGATCGAACCGAGATGAATATATTTATTGTTTAGAATGAACAATAATAAGGCATTGATTTCTAAGAAAAATATGAAACAAAATATCGATTGTAGGGAATGAGCGCCAAGACTTAATCGTTACTTGATCTCAAAAATATCGGAGATAAAAAAAATTTCAGAGAAATAAATGAAAATAACTTAATTAAAGGATAGTTATAAAAATCCTACCTGGTTGGAAAAGGAAGTAAAATATCACAGTCGATGTAAGGAGATTTAGGAGGGACATTTTAGGACCGTAGTCACCCCCACTGATCCGCTGTCGTCTGTTATAGCTTCTGTCGTCGGCCGCTAATTCTGAATCTCGCTTATGAATTATACATGTAGCTCTGGAAAAGTTTTAAATCCTAAGAAATCAATAAAACTGATCAATTGGAAAAAAATATAAAATGGTTATTTGCTATTTATCCGAGGGAGATCCGTAATCATTATTGGAGACCTAGTGCGGTAGGTGTATAGGACTGCATCGCTGTTGTCAATATCGATATACAATGTATTGTACGCCGTCCTCTTCATTTAATTTGGTAACAATCGTAAACTATTTGAAAAGAGAAGAAATCAAGTGATTGTCCAATTTTTTTCTGACTTAAAGATTTCTGCGCAATGGTATTTTTTTTTTTTTATGAAAATGCATTTCACTATATTTGTATCAATTTCCTGATTTTCTGTCTGCTTTAAATACTGCGCAAGTATTGATTACATTTTTGAAATAATTTCTCTATGTTCATTCAATGATACAATGAACCAATAATTAAGATCCATTACCTTGCTTCTTCTTTTAAAAAATGAAATTCTGAAAGAACCAGGAACGATGACCATTATATTGTTTTTTTATTATGATATATATCAATATCATTATACATGTATATTATTGTAAAATTAGTTTAATATATATTTTCATATATGACAAAGATTATTTTTTATTATTATATATAAAAAATATTTATTTTCAAGCATAGCATCAAATAATATACTTAAAAAATGTATTTAATAAAAAGGCAATACATTTGTTAAATATATTATTTGATTTTATGTTGTTTTTTTTTTCAATTAAATGAAAAGGCAATAATAGACCTTGGTTTCCATTCAATTTTACTTGTGTATAAAATAAAAAAAATTCTAAAAATGACATAAAACCAAAGAATATACTTGAACTGATGCAATTTGCACGAGGCAAAAACAAACGTGACACTTATATGACTAATGAAGGTCAACAGTAATTTGTTGAATGAATCAGAATATAGAAATGAACATAATGTGTATTTTATATTCAGAAAAAGTGAATTATTCTGCAATTTGTATGAAATTGTTCTACGCAGGAAGAGCTGTAAGGTTTCCTTCAAGGTTAACTATGTTTTGTATGCAAAATGTTATATGTTTGTATGCATTAGTCATTGACCAATTGTGTTTCTGTTATGTAAATTGTTGTTAAATATTCTTTGGTAAGCTTGCTTAGATATACTTAATCTTTCATACATCCGTGGCATCTGATCCAACCTCTGATGTTTAGGAATTCCGTGTTTACTCTGCTCCTATTTTGTATTGTTTTATGGATTGTTGGTCTTAAACACTGTTCGTTATCTCCATATGTTTCATTACTTATATTTCAAACATCCTACAATTCAGAGATAGAAAAAGAGATTATGAAACTCATGTTTATGCCTAAATAGCACAATCAATTATTTTTCAGAAATTAACCAAATACTAGCATATGTAAGCAACATTTAATACAAATTTTTGTAAAAAAAAAATGTGTCAAAGTCGCATATTTGAACATCAAAGCTATCCAATGATTTCATTTATAATTATGATATATACAAATAACAGATTTTGTTTAACTTTAAAAGCCAGGAATAAACAAACATGTTTCTACAGAAGAAACAATAAGTTGCCAGTAGAATGAAAATTAAGTATATTATCGGTACGATCAATCACTGTTGTTTCTTCTGGAGGCATCTGGGACAAACTTCATAATTTGTATGCGTCTTCCTGTAATTTTGAAGATCAAAGAGGAAAGCTGTAGACGATTCAGTATGAAAATTATGACCTAACAAATTATATGAAAATTACCAGTCAGACATTTAAAAAAAATAGTTTCTTTTTTTTACTTTCTTTCTACATATCAATAACGTACATGCATATTAATAAACTAAGACCCATGTACCTGTGTAATTGTTGACAAATGTTTATATCCCACATGATATTTTTTTAATCAACTTTTATCGTCGGCTAAAACAATTAAGCAAATACACTTTGAAACATCACAGCATCAGCTCTATACTAATATTGTGTTAAGTACATTGTCAACTATCTAAGATAATTCTGAGTGTTTCCTTTTTAAAAATCAACTAGCAATATTGACCAAAAATGATTAAATTCTCTTGTCTAGTATTAATCATATTGACCGGTCGGCAGGGGATGCTCACTTCTCCATGACATCTGATCCCACCTCTGATGTTTTGAACGTCGATCCGTGTTTGCTCTGCTCCTATTTTGTATTGTTTCATGGACCTTAGATCTGAATTTCTGTGGATTATCTTCATATGTTTCTTTATGATGGTTGTTCATTTATAAATCTGTGCTAATTGTTGACAAGTGCTTATACCCCACGTGATTTTTTTTATATAGTCATGTGATCAACTGTCGTCGTCGGTGACAACACATACACTGTGGTACAGAACCTATATATTATGTTAAGCACATTGGTTACCCCTCAAATGCAGCACATTGTTAACAATAAAATATTTATTGTTTCTCCTTTCATAAATAAATGAAAAGGAAATGGAGAGTGAAATAGACACGACGTACCGACCATGGCATTTCAGAGGGATTTTAAATATTTTACGTATACACTATTAGTAGAGCTTTTAAACGAAACATTTACATGATAGACCAAAAGATCATATAGACGAATTAACTTTTTCTCCCTTCCTTTTTATAATTTTTTAAAATCAATATTTAACAGTAATGTCAACGGAATGACTTTCTATTGATCTAGTGTCAAGCGCATGGAAGGTTTTTAAAGTACTCACACATAGGTGCATACTTCTTGATTATTTGTTAACGTTACAATGTTACATGCATACAATTGACTCCATCCTTTTTGTAAAGACTAATTTCTTAATTTGTTTAAAGAGGATAACCAACCATGGCCGATTGCACGTTACATGTTAATGTTTTTATGTTTATTTAATCGTTCATCAATCAATTGTTCAGGAAGTTATTATTGCAACTATCGATTCTGCTTGAACTTGACTGTTTTTGATTAGACTTTGTGAGCGAGGTTTCATTTTTGTGGGTTTTGGGGGTTTTTGTTTATTTGTTTGTTTGTTTTGTTTTATTTGTTGTTGCTTGTTTGTTTGTTGTATTTTTTGCTTGTTTGTTTGTTTGTTTTATTTGGTTTAACGCCCCCATTTTCTTTTCCCCTTATATTCTCTATAAATGAAGACATCGGATTATAATTAAGTGAAGCACATTATAGGCTCGGCAATCAGAGCTAGAGAATTGTGAAGGATCTTTTCATTGCTTAATGAGACACGGTAACACGTACTGAAGGGCCAGTTTCTACGCCTCGAAGTGGTAATCCTCGACACAAGCATCACTTCCTATCCCCGCGACTTCAGAGCAAAACCTTTAACCATTGCACTACGCAGGCAACAGGAGAATTAGTAAACTTCTATTTGCGTGATACACTATACTAGTATTTCAAAATCCTGACTATTCACTTGCGAAACTGCAGATGATTTTGAAAAAGAATAATTACCGATAATCAAAGAGTCCATATTCCGTAGCTTACTAAGCAGTTGCTACCTGTTAATCGATATCTTCCCATTACAGATTGTTTAGCTCTTTGATTTTCTTTCCACTTGTGTTTACTTGGAAACCTATGCCTATTACGGAGTATACTGACACGATACTATAACTAATCATATCATTTAAAAATGGATATTTACAATGTATTTTTCATACCCATCACTTGAAAAGTGGGAGGGTATATAGTGATCGGGATGTCTGTCCTATCGTTACGATTTGGAGTATCAATCTCCTATTCCCAACTCCTCTAATACCACTGAATGTAATTTAATGAGACTTTCACAGATTCTTTATAACATTGTGCCAGTATGCACTTCGTTATTTACCATTTGATCAGAAACATATTTCGGGTTTCCCATAGCGAAACACTGACACTGCCATTTTTTCTATAATATTGAAGGGTACCCATCTCTTATCCGCAACTCCTCCTATACCACTGAATAAATTTTAATAATACTCTCACAAATTTTTAATTTGAAAATGCCATTTTGTACGTTCTATTTCAATTACTCATCTGACACTTGTATTGGGTCTCCCAGAACAAAACATGGGCTTCATCATTATAATCATATGGGAGGCGGGGGTATCATTAAGTGAGCACAGTGCTCACAGTACCTCTAGTTTGTGCTATGTTTAATATCTCCTTGAAAAACCATTTTAGTTTAATAGATAACTTTTTCTGGTATGCTAAAATCTTGTTTTTCTTTTTTGAATTTTGTATTTTGTTTAACTTTGCTTTGAAATACGATATTAATTGATTGTTACATGGTGTCATCGGGAACTTACTTATTTAATTATTTTTTTTTTTTATCGGAAACATATTACGGGTTTCCCCTAGCAAAACATTGACACTGCCATATTTTCTATATCATTGGATGGTACCATCCGCAACTCGTCTACTGGATGAAATTGTATATACTTTCTCAAATTCTTTATTACATAATGCCATTTTGCACTTCCTATTTAACGTTTTGATCTACCACTTATTTTGAGTCTCCCAGAGCAAAACATGGGAGGCGGGGGTATCATTTGGGGTATCAGTGTGCTCAGTGCTCACATTATCACTAGTTTTTCTTGCATACAAACACTTCTGCTTGTTTAAAAATCTAAAATCAGTTTTTTTTTCTGCCAGCGCAGGGGATTGTAAAGGAATAGGTTCCTAATTGTATTTCAAAGAATTTCTTTGTACTGAGTCCAATTTAACGCTGATACAGAAAAGCAAGTCTAGAGTTGCAGCTGTGACATAATTTTCTATGTATTATGTGTCTTAAATTGTTCGCATGAGTATCCAGGTTAGCATCCTTAGTTATATTCCAACGGAATTAATAATTCTATATTAATCAAATGTTTACAATTGATGTGAAATCTCAATTACAAGTAAATAAGGAAGATTGTATGCAGTTTTTTTTGTCAAATTAGAGAAATTTCACTCATAAAGTGACAAATGCCAGTGAAAGACTTAAAATTTACACACAGGATACTGGGCTTCTGAGCAGTAAGGGATCCGTAATAAGGCAAGGTTAACCCTCACATGGAATCCTTGTTTTGTTTTAAGAGGAATCGAAGCAAA